CTATTGTCGTATTAATTAAATTTTTATATCAAATTAATATGCGTCGGAAAACGAAGAAAATAAAACTACACGGACAGAGTCGTAGGCCTGGCTAGTGAAAAACAATTTCAAAGCTATCTAAAATGTCATTAAAACCTTAATTATTATTGTTAGAGCAATAAAGAGCTACTAGGCTGTCGCTGATATGATAATATACAATTGTTCATTTAAATAACTAGTGAGATTAAGGAGATAACATTCAAATATTTTGTTATTGGCCAGAAAACGCACTCAAATTTTCTGAGAATGAAAAAGATTATTCTTTGTATAAAATTCCAATGAATTTCGAACAATCGGATGTCACAGTTGGCGGAATCACATCGGATGCACTGCGCACGCACTTATTTATGTACTTAGATAGATATCTACGTCATCAACAGATTCAAATCGTGTACGCAGAAATCAGTAGAAGGTACTAGGTACACATTAATAAGTAATAACTATTGCACAATAAAATGTTACCACTTCAATCTCCCCCTTTTTAAAGGATAGGCATTAATCAAATGGCTTCTTCCGCCCTGGGTAGGGCAAGACGGAAGGTCAGACTCTTTCTGACTAAAAACTACCCCGTACCTTGTCCTGCTCCCGGTTGGGGTCACGGTATATTGAGCTTGTACCCACAACCCTGGGAGTATCATTTCACTGGTTCGATAAGGTGCTAAAATGCCATAATATCTTTATTGGGATATATTATTGGTATGGAAACCGATAAAAATCTACAATACTTTGTTCGATTTGGGTTTTCAATTCGAACTCTTGCGCATCTGTCGCACTTGCGAAGATTGGACACTATTATACAGAACAAGATAGTTGGTAATCAATTTAGAAAAATGAATTAAGGTACTTTGATGTGCTAGGGTTGGTTTTTATTTAGGTTAATAGGATTTAACAGGTGTTGGGGTGGCCACTGGGGTGATTTCGGTGTGCTGAACTTCGTACATTAAAAATAAATAATAAATAAAATTGATTGAAGAACTCATAATCTAGAATATACAGTTTTGCCTGAACTAGGAAATCCTGTGTTTCAGGCGAAAATTGGTAAAAAAAATATATGCATTGTTAAATAATGATAAGTACATAATTAGGCTAGGTTTTCTCACAAAAAGCTTATAATCTTTTTGAAGGATTCCCGATGAAAAAATTATTATGAACTAAAATGCTAGCTACTTATAAGTAGTACCGATCTATGACCTATATCCATTCTTTATAGGTCCCTCATTCCTTCAATATTGTCAAAGCAAGTGCTAGCAGAAATGACCTTTCATTTGTTTTTATTAAAGAACAGCGTGACAGTGACTGAATGTTACCTCAATGTTTACCAATAAAAACATTTATTTATTAGCCACGATACACCAATAGAATTTTTTACGTCGTCATTGCTTTTCAATTAAAGGATAAGTATTATTTTATACCTGTTAATATTAGTTTTTTTTAAAAAGATAAATACTTAACAGGTTTTTTTGGACAAGTTTATACGTGATAGTGATCTTAGGCATATTTTTTCTTTAACAGGTAGGTATTTACCAATATTCAAAACAGCTGTTAAGTATGTACTTATGTGTAAATAAAAAATGTACGCAAGTTAAAATTCCGAATGGGTACCTACCTAGATATTTTAAATTGCGAAATTTGCCGTTTAATTAGAAGATTACTTTTTAAATTCGAATTCAGGTAGGTGCACTGTGTATACAAGTGCATGATTTTATTTGAAACATTGATACTTATTTCATTTAAAAAATATGTATTATTGTTTATGTTAGATAAATAAAAATGATGTTACTCACAGCATGATTGATGGTGACGATAGCTGGTACGACAGTTCGTGATCACAGTCACTCACAGACTGCGAGCGCGAGCGCAGAACAAAATAGTTTCAATGGCTTTAAGGTCGATTGTTCACTTTCCTATTGCGTAGGATAGTGATTCGACGATCTTACTTACGTATCCAGTTATCATAACTTGCAGAAGATAAATCCATGATTATGCAGGATAAACATAAATAAAACTACTCATTTAAATAGATAACCATCGTAATGAAAGATATGTTTTATCTGACACGTTGATGATAAAATTTATCAATGTATTGATGTGTATTTTCATTTTTTCTTGTGATTAACAGTACGACCTGAATATTCCGAAAATCATATCAAGGTCAAACTGAACTCTTCATTAGAATAACGAGTGCTCGCATTGGGATTCGATTCGCGACTCAATTCTCGATAATTATCTTTCTCTACACTAATGTCATGAGGTAAGGTAAGTTTGTAAGTACTTAGTAAGAGATTGTAACCTTTGGAACCGCTCGCTGGTAGAATTTCCAAAAATTTTTTGACTGATAGATAACTACAATATTTCTGAGTGTTAGATATAAGAAGTTAGAAAAAATTACATTTGATTTGCGTGTTTTATTGTAGTCGAGCTATAGCTTTAAACGCTGCTGTTTTTAAAATCCCGGGAATCAGTACTTTTGTAGGTACACGTGCAACCGTTAAAGATTTCTGATATTTGTTTAATTTTTTTGCTTATCTCAATAATTGATTCTGATCAAGACAGGTATTTGTTGATAAGTGCCTATTAATATGAATATGCGGTATTTTATTGTTTATTAGGAAGGACACTTGTTTTAGCGCCATATGATTGTAATATCTACGTCATATGTGGCTTATAAAAGACAGGAGTTGAAACTCTCGTCTTACCAATCATGGTGGGAAAAATGATATGATTTTTATTATATGGGGTAGGTCGGCAAACGAGCTGACAGATTATTACCCGGTGGTAAGCAATCGTCGCTGCCCACGGGCACTAAAGAAATAACGAGTGCGTTGCCCGCCTTTTAGGGATAAGGGTTTTGGATATTTAAGGATTGGAGTAGGATGGGGGGAGGGGTTGCGATTGATACGGCGAAACACAACACTGTGGTTGTTACACGTCGGTTTTTTGTAAGGCCGTGGTATCACTTACGAGGTAAGTAGTAAAAAAGCGTGCACATAGGTAAACACGAGTTTTTGTACATTAATAAGATATTGTAGGTAGATTATTTTAACGTTGCCCAATTTGGGGAACGTTTTTTCCGGCGCTTAAAAACAAACAACTTCTCATACCTATCTAGATCTGGAACAACAATTTGTACATCAAACCCGCAATACGGCACCTAGTTGCCTAGCCAACGCGTTGACTATGCTGATTGTTTACTTACACATGCATTTACAGATTGCAGAACATTTAGGGGCCATTGTACCTATTTTGTTTTAGATCTCAAGCTTTATCACTAGTTGATTTGGGGCAAATAATCGTTTACACTTTCATATTATGTAGGTAGGTAAGTAACTAAAGTTGTAGACATTACCTATTTTTTTTTTTTTTTTTTGATAGGACCACTCGTAGTTCAGCATGTAGCATGCTGAACTACGAGTGGTCCTGTGGTGGTGGTGGCTGTTAACTACTTAACCGGAAGACATTACCTACTTACTTACTGGTCCTATTATAGTTTTCGGTGGAGCTAGAAATTAAGACGACTCTTAATAAAATCTCGGTCGGGATTCTTATTTCCTCACTTTTCGCTTCTTATCGGTTTTGGTACCCGGTGTTGTCATAATGGCCCTGGAAGCACATACCTACACAGATACCTACTTAGATTATATTTTTTCAATGTAGGTAACGAAGCATTCCACCTTACACTATGATTTTCTTGTATCGAGTGGTTAGTGCAGTGGAACGACAATTTTCTATATTTTTTTACGAAATACAATGCACGCAGTTACTTCATAATTTATTTCCGTCATATAGGACTACAGAGAGCTTTTGAAGGCAAATGCTTCACTTCTGTGGGTCACCGATGACCTACGTGGCGGTTAACGTAAGAATACGAATATTCGAATGAAGATGTCGTTATTTCTATTGTTTTTTATAGTTGTTGTTTTTTTATTGGGGAAGCTAGGTGGACACAAAAAAATCGAGAACAGGAACAGCAGTGCTATTCTGTAAATGGTAAGTCGCCTCAAAGGTCAAACACCACTTCGCTCCTCATATCGACTGTACACAAACGTCAAAACTCACTCATTTTAGTTCCTTTTACTTCGTCACCTGGAGGCGCCAATGTAGATTTCACACCATTTGAGAATACAAAACTTTATTAAATAAGTACACATTATTTCAGAAGTGATTTCGCAAATTAACTTTTGAGAATAGCCTAGCTATCTAGTCATAAATAGCTCTGAAAAGTCCACTACTGGATATTTCCTCTAATAAAGAGGGGCTTGGAGGTGTGATGCGTAGGTACCTGTGCCGTAGTACCGTCTGTATTTTATTTCAGCTTACCATCACAGTACGGACAGTATCTACTCACGATACGACAAATCCTAAGTAGTCCACGGTTTTTTTCAATGTAATTGAACGGCTAACGTCATCAAGTATTACCTGCTAGTAGTAGCATTGTTCCGAAGCATGGCTCTCTCACACTTTTCTCCCCTGGTTTTTTTATTTCGAACTTTTTTGATATTGAGATAAACTTATTCAAACAATAATTAATTAGTTCAACATTTCTGGAATTGCAGGTAGATAGATATTATCTGATGTTACTTGCGAATGGGTCGGCTCAACCGGAGTGATACCACGGCCTCACAGAAAACCGGCGTGAAACAACCACAGCGTTGTGTTTCACCGTGTGAGTGAGGTTACCGGAGGCCCAATCCTTCCCCTCCCCTAATCCCTATATCTCCAAATCCCTAATCCCTAAAAGGTCGGCAACGCACACGTAACTCCTCCGTTGCGGATGTCCATGGGCAGCGCTGATTGCAAAAAAAACTTATTTATTGTCAGAATAAGGTTCTAATCTACATTGGTGCAATAAATATATTGAGTATTGGGTTTCTAGTTATGGTAAAAAGATGTGTCATTTAGCTGTAGGTACCTAATCGCAGGAAGGGATATTAGAGTATCATAGTTGAATAAAACATATCAAGTTATAAAAATATCTGTTATTCAGGATAGCCTCCATCCAATATTAAAACATTGCTGGAATTGGTAACTAAAGAATACTTATTACATAATTTTCACGTGAAAAACGGCAAGTTCATCAACCGGTTAGTATAAACATTTTATTTGAATATACAATATATTTATTATATGTACTCACTTAACAATAATTTTGTTGCGTCACCCATTGAGAAATGGACACCACTAGCACATAGCACGAACGATGCAAAGATTTTTTTCATGGTGAGGGTAAGTTAACCTTGTTTTTTCACAATTCAAAATCATTATTTATTCATACAATAAATACCCTCAAAATTCCATGAGAATAAAAGACAAATAAATGATGGCAATACACGTAAAAAATCGTAAAATACACAATATGGTGTCCACCATCATAAAAAAGTCTTGCCTTGTTCTATACCGGACATAACTTACCTTTAAAATAATCTCAATCAAATCAAATTCCGTAATCTAACTAACACATTTCTCAAGCAGCCTGGTGTTTACGGCAAACTTCTCAAGAATGACAAATTTATAATGTAGGTTTGCCCAAATAAATAACATTTGCATTGTCTTACACCCGGTTTCTGAAAGGCTTGTCAACGCTAAAATTAACTAATCTCCTATTAAATCTCTTGTCAGTCAACCAATCAGATGACTTGACAAGAGATTAAATTGATTGTAACATTGATCGGCCTTTCGGAAACCGGGTGTTAGTCTGAGAAAAACAGCTTTAAGAATACATACTCGGAGAATGCGAACAAAAGTATTAAGATACTTCTACTTTAACATTTAAGTCCTCTTTGATTTTGATCAAGTTGTACAAAATAATCATAAGAAGGTACAAAACAGTAAAGCTGAACTTGCTGACTTAAAAACCGAGAGTTATAACTTGCTTGTTTCGTTTTATTAAACCTTAACAATTTCATTAGTCTTCAGTATTTGGCAAATTATATTTAGTAAGTTCATTTTTAAACTGAATTACGAGGCAGTTTAAAATTTCTTGATATTTTTTTTTTATATTAAAAGACATTTGAATAAGACTGTAAGGCTCCATATTTTTTACAAAAGTATAAAAGCTTTATTTGGTCAGCAATATAAGGGGTCATCTATAAAGTACCTACGTCACATGAATTTCATGATATTTTGAGCTCCCAACCCCACCCCCCCCCCTCCCCTTTGTGTGACGTCACATGTTTTGCAATATCATATCGAAAAATCAATAATAGAAACAATAAAATCACGTGAGGTACGGAGCGTTTGGCGGGATTCGTCAAAGGGCTCGTCGGCAATTGGCGCGTGTCACTAGAGCGGGAAAACAATCTTTAAACCGAGTTGTCGTAGATACTTATATTTTTATATGATATTTTTACTTTGATTAATATTTATTAGGTTTTGAAAGGTGACGTCACAAAACTTAGGAGCCTCCCTTGTCGCTCCCCTCCAAACCCCCTTTACGTGTGACGTACTTTATGGACGACCCCTAATTAGGTTGATATTAGACGGACTCCGTGCCATCTGATCGTTATCGGCGTCAAGAGCACGATAAACAAGGTTACCGGCGTACAATTTGTGTTTATCCAAAATTGAATTCTTATTTCCTGGGCATTTACAATGTTTTATACCAAAAGATCGATCGAATGATTTCAATTTTATTAATATGAAACAAAGTTGAAAATCTGTTGATTGGATGTGCTAAGGTTTGTCTTAATAAGAGACATTCATTTTGGCTCAGCTAAAAATGTTGATTGTTTGAAAATGTATTGCACTTAAGGTTAAATTTTGTTTAATTTTTATCAAACAGATACATTACTTATTTTTAAACTTAATACTATTGTAACCTTCAGTTACTCTGGTATCTTTAATACCCTTGTTCACTGGCATTTGTTTTAATAAATAGTTTAAGTTTAAAACTTTTCCATTAATAATAACTTCAGTAAAGATCTTTGCGCACATCTTTGTTGCATTATCTAATATAACATCAGTACTCTCTTCAAGTAATCATGACAAAATTAATACATTTAAATTTTAACAAACCGTAATTGCACAATGAGAAAAAATATTTAGACTAACTTAACAATCCTTACTCCATTTTGAAATGAATAAAAATGTAAAAAACATACTAAAAATAAATTAGAAATGAGTTTTTGTTAGTCTGGTGTCCGGGATCTCGGCAATTCGTCACCGAAGCAGTGCTTGTTGATGGGATCCTTATAGGAGTTCTCATGGAGAACGCTGTGTGAACTCGTGCGACATTTAGTCAAGCACAGTTCATAATCGTCACTCAGCGAACGGAAGAGTACGTTTTTCTCCGTCGAGAGTTTTGACAACACTACTTCTAGCATGTCCCTCTGAAAATTAAGTTTTTGATATGATTATTACAAATTCTTCCATATTGATTGGTTATTGTAAGTTTCTGTGTAGGCTTTGCCTAACTAGACTAGGATTTTACGCTAATAAGTATCTGGGCAATTTATGTACATATCGGAAAGACTTTGGTTCTTGCACTGGAATGGAAATCTGGTCAGAGATAATTCAGGTTTGTAAGGAATAAGTTGTAACGCCAAAATTTTTGATTATTTTGAGCATATTACGAGGTAATTATAATTTGAAAAGTCTATTAGCAATTTGGGCCATTGAAGTCTGCAAAGTAATTAAAGTATATGGCGCAGATATTGGTTCGTAATATTATAATTCATGACAATACCTTACTGGGATCCAAACAGCAGGACACACAATATTCATATATAATACAGCAATTATTTTCCGTACAGGTCTCACAGCTATACCTGTCAGCAGAATCAGCATCCGTGTCACAACAACCATTCTTAGTCATATCACTTCTATGACATACATAACCTGAAATATATTTCATCTTGCTATTGTGTTTTTATAGAATTGAATTATAAATCAAGTGAGACACACTTAATTTTACGAGTGAGAAATTTATTTTATTTTATAATAAAATAGCGCGACGTTCGCTGCTGCGTCGTCGTATGGCGCGCAACGCTGCTAATGAATATGAGCCCCTTGCATGGCTTGAAACTAGTCGAGTTACCTTGTCAAACAGATTGGAGTAAGCTGATCAAACATAATAACAACTTTTAATCTATTTCTAAGCTATTTATAACATAGCAAGAATGACTTGAAGAATGACAGTCAGAAAAGGTGTGTGTAGGTACATACACCTTTTCTTATTCATTTGGGAGACAAGAGATACATGTCAAAAACTGTTATTTTTTATGGTCATGTACTATTAGTGAGAACTGCACAATTTGAGCAAGAGGCATCTGACTGCTATGCAAAAACAATATTAATAAATAGGTTTTCAATGCTTAGGTTCGCCAGGGTTGCGGCGCGCTGTAACTGAATTCTTTCCTACACGTTATGGCGAGAGGGAGTGTCAGACTCATACTGACTATATACACAGTGCCCCAAACCAACCCTGGCTAGTAAGAGTCTGATACTCACTCCCTCTCCTCCCACCCTGGACGAGACATTTTACAATTTTATCCCCCCGAAAACACAATAACTTCCGTCCCTGTGACAGTTATTTCATTTTGGATACTCCTGCTTTGATTTTGGTAAGGAAAATATAGTGGTTGGTAATGAATTGCAGTTTATGTATAGACATTACATCAATAAAAATTACCTTTCCCAAAGTGTACATAGACATTAAGTAACAAGGTTGGTAGATTAATTTACATCATCGACATTATAACCGCAAGCAAGAATCATTGATGTTAAGAATTCATATTACTTTGGCAAAATATTGTTGTGATAGTTTGATATACATATATAATTATGTATGAATAAAAAGAAATGATCAGTAACTTATTTATATTGTAATAATGAAACTTTTATTTGTTTTTGCAAATAGGCCATAAAACTGCATTTTTACGGGTCACATGCATAGCACAGCATATCATAGCAAATACAAAAAGGTTAGAGTATAATATTTAAAAGTAAAAAGAAAAATTCACATGACAACATTGTATTGTTAATTTTGCAGATAGTATTGATTTTGACTAATCCCTAGATATAAGATTTTTTTTGCATGGTAAATTAACTTATACATTCGTATTAACTAACTTCTTCAAAAGAATTTTTGTTATCAATTACACTTTCACAAATTCTTGCAATAAGCCAATTCCAATTATACTGGATTTTTTATACCAGGTAACTGTGATAATAGCCGTGGAAAATAAATTAACAAAAACCTGATAATATTGTTTTTTGTTAATTATAGAAAGGACAAGCTTAAGCTGGAATTAACACTTTCATTACCCCTACAATTTTTAGATGCCGCCTACATATCTCTTACTTCTTTTATTACCCACCGGGCGAGTCTACATTGCTGGAATAAAATTTATGTGGAGTCTTTGGGCGAGTTGGTGGCACTGAATGTGTCAAAGAAATTATTTACAAGAGTTATTAGTTAATAATAGTTACCTCTATCATCTACAAGTAAAGATTTCCCTTGTACAGAGTTTCTGCACATAATATGATCTATTGTGTCATTGTGTTCCTGAAGAGTTCTCCAAACAAATGGCTTTCTTTCAAATGAAACATCTTGGTATATCATACCTCTGCTATTGCCCTGAAATTTAGATACAACACAATTACAACAGATTACTTGGTGAAACATACAAAACAAATGTGAGTGGGAAAAATATTAGTATCTGTGGATTGTTATTTTTTGTGGCATAAAAACAATGCAACAAACAATAGAGGTGTTGACAAACTAATAATTATTTTCATTCTAATTGAAGGCTATAGGACATTCTTTGAATACTAACCTCTCTAAGAAAGCTGACAATACAGTAAGTTAAAGAAGACGCAAATATAATGCCTAGAACTAAACGTCTTCGTATGAACCGCACTACCGCTGCATACCACATTTTCCACTCGTTACTAACACTCAACTTAGGAAACCGATCACAGTAATAAGGAAATAAACTGAAAAGTAATAGCATTTTCAGGCGTAACAATGCAGTCTACAATTTACCACTTTCGCTGGATACATCGTTTACAAGTATTATGTGAAATGTTTTAATGTAGGTAATTAGACTTTCGAAATGAGATATGCTACGTTTACTGTTTTAGTTAATTCAAACGAAGCTGATTGTATTTTTTATCGCATAATAATTGAGATATTAATCATTACACTTAGGAGGAACCTATTTTTAAGAAACTGACTATCCTCACTGTCCGAATGTCTGCACAGTTTTCAATTGGCTGACAGTGACAACCGTCGACTATTGTGAAGTATATTGTGTGCACGACTTTGACTTTGACAGTTGAAGCTGACATTTGTGTATTTTGACAGTGGCACAGGTAAAATAGAACACTTTTGTGAATTCCAGTCTTTTGATCTTCATGACAACATTCCGATTTAAAAATAAAATGTATCCCAATCACGTTTTCGTCGTTTTTGACGTATTTTTCCAGAAACATATCGAATACTTGCCAAAATTTGGCAAGCTTCATTGTGGACAAAATTAAAATATGACACAAATATTGAAGATCGACAATTCATGAATTTGCCGTTACCAATTGGCATCAGCCACACATGAATCGACCTCAAAATAATATTTACAACAAATCGTAGGTAGTTCAGACAAAAAAATATTGTTTACCAATCGAGAACAAAAGAATCAATTTATTGAAATAACTATATTACATATTATATCTATGTATATTTTTACAGTTTTTTAAGTAGAACGATTACCATCATCCGTAGGTATCTGATTATAGCTAAGTAGATATATAATGTGTGTGAGATGCAGGACCGACGACTTGGTTTACGTGGCATGAGGGATAAATAAACATCGGGTATCGAACCCGTGGCATGTACTGCAATCAGTCATCCGATTCTGTTTTGAATAATTCTGTTTGGGAAGTATGAAGGTAAGGGAAATAAAACTCTGCCGATAAGTATAAAAAATTTATAGGTTTTCTTGTATTTCAAAATAATAAAAAAAAAACGATAAGGAACATAAATACAATAGGTACATGGGTATTTTCCTTATGAAATCTTAAATTCAGCCTAACAATTACATTTTTCCAAAAAATATTAGTCTTACATTTTTTACTTAAGTACTATTGTCGATATTCCTTAAATGCGACTTTAATATTAATATAACAAAAATAGGGTAACCTAAATATTTATATAACACGTCCTAATGTTTTAAAATATGTCTATTTATTAAAGTGGAAGCTATTAATAATTTTTAACTTAAAAATAATGAGGTAAGATATCACATTTTAAAAGTAGGTTTTTGAAGTGTACTCTGGCGACTTAGCAATAAACACTTAGCACTTAGAAGAACCTCCTGTTTTTGTAAAACTACAACAGTAACCCTATCAAATTAATATCAATTTTAATTTTTGGCTCCTCTAGACTGTTAAGCATTACCGGACCAAGCCGGTTTGTAATGCTGGTTATTCATAGCCTGAAATGAAAAAAAAAACACCTTTTAAAAATGTTATATAAAATAAAAACACAGGCAGTTGTGTATCTATGACACTACGATACCAATGTGCCGTGATTTAGGTAGGGAATATATCATATATCAGACCGATATGATATAATGAATAAATATATGAATAAATGAATAAGGCCGGCAACGCACCTGTGACTCCTCTTGTGTTGCGGATGTCCATGGGCGGCGCCGATCGCTTACCATCAGGTGATCCGTCAGCTCGTTTGCCTACTATTCCATAAAAAAAATACTTGGCGCCTCTTTCACTATCTTTGTGGATACCTACATACATTATGTGGTTCATATTAATTACGTCCTATATTCAAGTTTATCTCATACGTGGCTTTTCTGGTGGTGATGGGGTCTTTTGAATTTGTGCTAAAAGTTACAAGACATAGGAAAATGGAAAAGGTCTGCCCATGTATTCGATGTACCTAACACGGTGTTTTTCGCCATATTGGCCTTGCCGTTTTTGCCAAAAAACCTGACTCCGGAAGTCCCTTGCTAACGCGTGTAACGCTGCAGGCTGCACGCAGGTGTATATGGGCAGCGGCGATTGCTTACCATTATTACGGGCCGCGGCTCGTTTGCCGCTATGTCCTAACAAAAAAACACACTACACAGCTGAACTACATTAAATGTATTATGGAATAGATTTCGGTGGAGCAAAAAATTTAACTCGCCTAGAGAATTTAGGACGATTAAAGACAAAATAATAGAAAAATACTTTAGAAGTTCTGCGATAAGATAAACCACTGAATTACCTTACATAAGTGACTGCAGTAAGGGAGAGTGCAAGGAGATGTATTGTAGGGTGAGTACCGCGTTATTATGTACTTGCCACACATGTGGCAGCGGACGAATGGTGCGTGGTTGAAAGGACCCAAGTGAACTGATTCAGAGTTGAGGTTTTGAGCATGAACAGGTCTCTCCTGCTGCAAAAAAATAACAAACAATAATATAACTATTTTCCACACGGCAGCTTGAAGTGAACTGTAAGGGAGGACCTTCCGCAGACTCGCGCACAAGGTGGCTGGAGATCGTCGCGTAACCTCCGATGCTTGGGGTATCTCCTTCAGCGGCGGCTGGGGCGTGAATAGGATAGTTCTCTAATGCGCTTCGCCTTTTTAGAGGCCTTCGTGTAATGCTAGATTTTCGATGAGAAGATAAGGAACTTCCCGAACGACGCCCGTCCGAATTGGATCCTTCAGTAATAACATTAATTTTAATTCCTTATAGTAATAACTTTAATTAACTACCGCGACGTAATATAAAAAAAAAACAAAAATGTAGGTACTATTGAATTCAAAGTTTCCTCTTACCATTTGCGTGTTCATGTTATCGTAGTAGGTATGGTGGGAGATGTTGCTGTTGTTCATTTGACTGTTATTTACATGTTGCATTTGAGTTGGATGGTTTAGCTGCTGAAATCCGACGTGTTGATGACGTTTTTGATGTACTTGTCTACCATCCAAATAGTTTTGTGTCCCATGAAGCTGCATATTTGTCTGATTATAATTTTGCGGTCCATTGGTAAAAGTTGGTGAGTTATTGTATGGATTGTGGTGCTGAGGCGGTGGATGCTGAGCGGGTGGATACTTATTCTGAGAAATGTACTGCTCGTACGATGGTGGCGCGCGACTTACTTCTAGCCTGTTTGTTGTTTCAGAATTAGGTAAAGGATTGGTATAATCCCCATTAGTTTTCTCTGTCAAGCACCGATTTTCAGTAACAGTTTTTAATGTCTCTGCATTTATGTTTATACTGATTTCGGATCCAGGAGAGCCAGAAGTAAATATGCAGATATTTTCAAGATTTTGATTGTGTGTTCGTCCACTAACATTACTATTAAGTACAGTTTCATATTGAGAGATATTGAATGGTTTTAAAGGTCTTGCTAGTTGTTGCTTTAAAGTGACGTATTCATCGGGCTTACGAGTACTGATATTGTTTAGATATACTCTTTTTTGTTTAGTCCATTTTATTAAGTGAGTCAGCAAAGATTTAATATGAAATTTTTGACATTTCCACGGATAAGGCTTTGCATTAGCTATGCTGACAGCTTTATCTAAAAATTTATCAATGAAATAGCTGTTATCTTCTTGCGGTATGATTATTGACTCCACTGTTTTAAATGCCAAATCAAAATAATGGGCTTTGGCTGCAAAAAATTTTCTTTTACTGGTTCTATCGGACCGTGTATTTTTGTTTAGGCTATGAAGATAATATGTTTGTATAACATAAGTCAATAATTCCGACAGCTGATTTAATTTACTTTCAGTTTCCATGTTGACTGGAAGTTCATGATTATTTATTTCAGTCTCTTTAGATATACTGGCTTCCTTGTTGGCTATAGTTTTACTCGCAGTATATAAGTCACTGTTGCCATTTGTTTTGTTATCGTTTTGAAAGTGGTTAGTTCCAATATGGTTGTTATTCAACTGTGCGTTTTTACAGTTACTATTAATTATAACGTTTTCAGTATTATTTAGTTCTCTTATTTCTTCTAATATGGGTGCATTTATTTGAGTATCATTAATGTCTAAACTTAACTTGGCGAGATTTGCACGTTCTTCTACCAAAGTTTCCCCTATAAAGATGTCTTTATTATCAATTTCATTCTCAAGATTTTCTTGTTCTTCGATGTTGTCTTGTAAGGAACATTCATTGTCTTCGTATATGATTGTGACATCTGTTGGTACGCTGAAGTCATATTCAGCCATTTGTTTTAAAACGCCTGCTAGAAAAATAATAATTCGTTATCAGTCTTTAACTTTTACATTATTAATTTTATTGAAATACTTTAGATTTGATTCAAATGTCTGGACTTATGATTACACCCTAATCAAAGTTAAATTTATTATTAGAGATCGGTTTCCAAACAATGTTGTCTTCGCTGGAATTGGAAATTACAAATGTTTTGGCAAGCTTTGTATGTTAAAATTAGAAACAGTTTATATAGGTTTTTCTGTTTATTAGAGAGAAGATGAAGTACTTTGTAAATATGGCAGTTTCACTTAATAATATGCTATAGGGCGTGTCGGAAACAAAGAATTAATGCAAAGATGGTATGTCGAATTGTATGGCGATGGTATGGCGATGGTGTGATGAAAAAAATAAATACTCACAAGTCCCCATGTCTGGATCTTTTATCTAAGCTTAGGTGTAATTCGTCTGTTTGTCTGTCTATAAATGAATATTGTATGTATATTATACAACTATTTCCGTTGTCTTCTTCCACACTTATACTTGATCATATTTATTTTTCTTTGGGGTTTGCACTTAGCTTGATCGGATTTGGCTGTTTGTCAGGATTGTCCAAGGTTGTAGTTTTATATCATATTCTTGATTGGATCGTCGTCAGATTTTGAAAAGGTTTTGACTAGGAATTGCGCCGTATCTACAAAAAATTGCGTGTACCTACAACAAAATAATATGCTTTAATTTTGAGGTTAGACTTTTTTCTTGTTTAAGAGGGGGAGACCTTTAAAATATTTTAAGGAGAAAGGCTAGAGTGCATTGCATTCATGTCTCATTGACGATATCTCGGGTGGCCACTCTTAATATTTCATGGAATACTGAGTCTCGTCCATGTAAAAATAGCTATCATATACATATTTATAATCTCAGAGGACCACTTCTGTTCTGCCTCCTCAACCCCAATCCCATTACCAATCACCAAAGCAATCCTAAATCACATTCTACAACCCCAATTTTAATTTTAATGGTTATAACATTATTAGGATTTATTTATTATATTATTTATGGTTTCTCTCCGGTTGTTTACTGCGACGCGATATGTTTTCATTGCTCTGACTTGCAACCCTAATCTGCACCGGAACCAATGATAGGCGCCCGATTGGCGCAATAACTTTTGATTGGCCGTCGCATTGGTTCGATTTTTGCATGAAACAATAATAACAGTGTTATCAACAAATTGTTGCAAACTTGGATGTTTGTAGATTCTACACGGCACAAGAGAAAATCTTAAGAGTAGTGTGGTGTTTAAATATCAGAGCAGGAGAAGGAAGGGTGGGATTTTAGTCTCGCCTCATTCCGGGCGAAAGAAGCATTTGATGATTTTCCCCTCACAAAATAAGGCGGCATTTAAATTGAATTTATTTTATTTTTATGTTGACTGAAACTACCATATTACTACGAATTATGACATTAAAGTTCCAAAGTAACAAAACAGTTTTTAAAAAATAACTTTTATTAATATACCCTTAACAAACTAGATTACAATGACTTAGAAAATAATGATTTTGAGAATAAGATTTAGGAGATAAAACGAATTTGAAATAGAATGTGGAACAAAACGTGAAGTAGAATAGAATGTAATGTGTCTTATATCTAACAGTCCGGGTTTATATATGAGAGGTCGTGGGATATGTATACATCATTAGACGTGGGATAATGATTTACAATTATCTTAATTATAAAGTGGTGTTTGAAAAGTAATCTAAAGTAATCTACATGTTTTATAGCAGCGGTTAGACCCCTCTTTGAGGAGTGGCTTGAGAGACACCACGGCGTCCTTACCTTCCACCTGACGCAGGTGCTTATCGGGCACGGCAGCTTCGGTAGGTTCCGGTTTCGGATCCAGCGGAAGGAAACGCCCGAGTGGCGTCATTGTGAGGACCATCTAGAGGATGCGGTGAAGCATACGGTGGCGGTATGCCCTGCCTGGGCTGAGCACCGCCGTGTCCTCAGGGAAGTGATCGGCGGCGGCGACCCCTCGCGCCCGACCTTAATCGAGGCCATGGTTCATAGCGAGAGGAACTGGGAAGCTATCTCCTCCTTCTGCGAAGCAGTTATGCTAGCAGAGGAGGAGGCGACATTCCGGGCGTCGGGGATCGAGAAATGATCTCCGGCCACCGTAACACTGCGGAAAGCGAGTAAGGGTAGCTCGCCGCCCGACCAGAACCAGACCCGAGCGTACGGCGCGTAGTGTTCCGCGCGCGCCTCAAAGAGCCAATAGAACACCACAGACGGGGCCCCATAGGGCTGATGTTCAGCCGGGGTTGCGGGGTAAGCGCAATGAGGCACCGCGACCTCGGCCCAGAGCAGGAGAAGGAACAGGGGGGTTTTTAGTCAGTAAGAGTCTGACACTCCCTCCCGCCCGACCCTGGGCAGGAGAAGTCATTTCATGATTTTCCCGTCACAAAAAAAAGTAATCTACATGTTTGAATATTAATCATATGTATACTAACTTAACTAATCACATTTGTGATATCTAGTGATACTTGTATATTGATATGTAAATGATATTTGTTTATTGAATTGTAATGATATTAATAATAACTTATCTAATGGTATTTGGATACGAGGATCATAACATAATTGAATATTAGGACCATAACATAACAAATGCTTTAAACATACATATTATCTTGTTTACCTCATATTTTTCAGATCCGTGAAAGTCACAACAACAAGTGTCCTACCGCATCATACTTAAAATTTTCGAGCCATAAATTTAATGATTTAAACTTTTTGGAACTAGTTTTAAGATTATTTTATCGGCATTGTGTTGGATAAGCATTTTAAGTCATCAAACCCCAAGCTAGCGCCGGAGTTCGCGCACCTATTGTGTCTAGAATTACCACGGTTGAAAGATTAATTCTTTAAGATTAACATCCTTCAGTAATAAAAAAAAATCATCCAATTATTCATAAAAACACATATTGTATCTTGCTCCATACAATATGAGGATCACAGACAACCGGGCGGCGTGAAACAATCACAGCGTTGTGTTTCACCGTGCGAGTTAACCGTTTCATTTCCAATTCCTATTTTCCTACTAATATGTAGTTCAGTGTTTTTAACAATGACGATATAACCACATGTGGGTATATACTCTTTGGTTTTTAATAATGCAGTTACAATACCGGGTGTAAAAAGACACTTAACGAAGCCGAAAGCCACGTATTCTACCCATTATTTGGATCATTTTTGACCAAAGCTGGGCTCCACGGGTTCTCGAGATATTGAAGGTCAAAGATGCATTTTTAAATATATTTTTTTGCGCAGTCGAATTCTTAGTATTATTACAAAACTTTTTTCCAAACAAACATTACCTGAATTTTCGATTTTTCTAAATAAATTACGCATTTGAAGTTACGAACAGTAATGTACGTAATTAATAAATGCAGACCCGCACAAAAAACATCGTGCATCTCAGTAGGATTTTTATTAATTACAGAATATTTTTGCTGTTGCGAAGTAAAACGTTGACCTACTTACTTATCCCAGCGTTTTCATGCTAAGCTGTGAGCCTACGCACACAATGACACGAAGTCCGGTTGCTTTACATTGCGCGCAATAAAATTATTTTTTTTTAGACCCTAAGAATAAAAGTCGTTTTCCAGTGATAATTTTAGCGTAAAGCTACTTAGTTAGAACTGCAGTATGCGTAGTTAACGGCTTCGTTAAGTGTCTTTTTACACCCTGTATATATTATTTATTCTATTTATTGATTGCTTGCTCATAACTAGATTTATTAAAAACCGATATGTTGTTAACCAGAAAGGATTAATCACTAAATAGTATAAAACAACTTTCGCTGTCCCTATATCCTATATATGCAGTGAATATATCCCTATTTATGCTTAAATATTTAAAAATAAGTGACGTATTTTGAGGCAGTTTCTTTTAATAAATAGAGTGATTAAAGAGGAAGGTTAATGTGTATAATAACATCTATTAAATATTGGAGAAATTTTGTATCAGCACCGAAACTAGGGCGGATTGCTAGTTAAATATAAATGGTAAATTAAAGCATCAATAATATAGATACAATACATAATGATCTTATTAATAATACCTCAATAAAAACAACAAGAAATAAGAACCTATGCTTTTTGCCCACGATAAAAACTAGGTTTCGACATTTTATCGCCAAGAAAGGTTTATTGATCCTACATAACTAACTATATCTAGTGTATGCAAGTACATAGTTTCCGGTGTAATATATTTTTGCGATATACATATATAATATAATATTTTTTATTTGCTTTAAAAATACAGCTGATGATAATGTAAGTTTTCTCATCAAAGTCAACATACTGAACTATGTATAAAATTTGTGAATTTTGTATAAAATTAAATTGTTGTATATATTATATTAAATATGGTTATTAAATAAAGCCGTAAATTAATTTATATATATAAAAATGGATTGCAATGTGTGTTGGTTAGCGCATAACTCAAAAACACTTGGACCAATTTTGCTAATTCTTTTTTGTTGTGTTATAACAAATTATTGTCAGGAGAAGGTTCTTATCAAAGGAAATATTAGTAAAATATAGAGGAAAATTGGCAAGAAGTAACCCTTTCGTTGTTAGCAAGATGGTTGGGCCTATGCAAAGCGGGTTCGGGTTGTTAGTATTTAATATAAATAAACATGTTAGTCCAACAGGTGCGCTTGTACAATTAAAATTATACTGACTGTAATATATTTAAAATACCTAATCATTATAAAAACATATCGGTTTCCGATAGCAAACTTACCTCGCTGTTTTGACAATGGTTTTAGAAAATATTTCATATACTAAATAATAGTTTTTATATATCCGATAGATTCAAGGTCACTAAATACACTTGTCACACACAAAAAATCATTGGATAAGTACGAAATAAACCACTTTGCGCATGTGTTAGTCACGCCTTATGTATTTTGCGCATCATCGAATTATTTTTAACACAAAACGTCCTTAACTAATTCATGTTGTTAGCAGCGAAATGCACGTTAGCGCAGCGCGAGCGCAAGTTTCGACTGTCTCAGACACCGATGACGACTGGCACGGGCGGGACTTGAGACATTAAATTAAAATACACGGGACGCTCATATGCGCCGGCGACGCACGGTGCAGTTGTGTACTATTTATTATGTGCTAGCAGTAGGTATATGTCATTGACCTTCATCAAGAATACCAACAATACGAACTGCGATACTCGAATTTGGAACAACCTATTTTTACTTGCTCTGTTATTTGTACCATACATAGTAAGTATATAAAAGATATCCTGTATTTACTTCTCGAAAGTTTGTGTAGAAATAATAGATGTTTACGTATATGTGTAGGTATTTATATGTATACATGAAAACTGCCTGTACGATTGATGGTGGCGCCATTCGCCAAATATAATGCACGTTATTTAATATGAACACAACAAAAAAGTTATTATTAACAGTGGTGAAAGTAGGAAATTTACAATGAACCACATGTTAGGCCCTTCCTATTGCAATTTATGGGAGACAATTAGTAGCAAAAAATTAAGTTGCCATATTATCTTTATAGATTTCAAAAGTTAAGTGGAACCATCGAGCGCTCAACAAAATACCAAACGTTACATCTGGCAGCCATAAAACTGACCCACGAAGGGTTCATATGTACCTACAAAGAAACAATTAAGATATTGCACAAAAATTAACAACTATGTTAGTTTTTACCCAGACTGTCAGAGTGGATGGGATTTCTTAGATTTGCTAAGCGACAAAGTAGTTGCGGGGTCTCCACGGATGGTTGTAAGGGTGCAGATTTCATAAGGAGCCGGGGTTGCAGGACCGCAGCCCCGAACTGGAGCGGACGCGGAGGGGGGAAGGAACGGAGTAGTTTTAATCAGTGAGAGTCTTAAACTTGATTTTTTCTTTTTATTGTAAACTAAACAATGAATTTATTTATTATATGCATAACATTATGTAACTCAATAAATTAATCTAGGATATTGTGTTCATAACGAGAGAGACCTGGCACCCATAACACAAGTTTGATCTTGACTTGGGTGCTGGAGATCTATAACATTAGTAACTTACAATTTATAAGGCCATTTTTTTTTAAATATAAACGTTGCCCCACTTTAGGATTTTCTCCTGTGTTGTGGGTGCGTTTACAAACATACAATGTCACATACACATGACACCCAGACCCGAAACAACAAAGTGTTGTTCCGTGCGGGAATCGAACCCGCGATACGTTGCACGGCAGCCAGTTGCCCAGCCACCGCACCAACCGTGCAGTCAAATTGTTACCTCCGTCTACTACATAGTTTTAAGTAAAACACCACACTCTTAAATATTTAAGTTTAATAAAAACAGATTTTTATAAGACACTTATTTGAATGCTCGTCAAACTTCCCACCAGAATCCCCGTTGCACTCTTTGCGCGGGAAAACTTTATTCATCTGTCTCAGTTGACAGACGACAGCGTCACCACGGCAGCCAGTGTTGCCGAGACCACAGATTATATTAGTGACGTTCATTTAGTTGATTTTCGTCGTCTAACAATAGTAACTTTAAATGTAAATTATTATGTGGAAATACATACATTTATTTATTATTTCGCTCCATTCAGGACGAGAGAAGTCATTTGATGATAGTTCCCTTAAAAAAATGATGCGGTAATCTATATACTAATATTAGCTGGAGAGTTAGGTTGTTTGAACGCGCTAATCTCCAGAACTACTGGTTCGAATTGAATAATTCTTTTTGTGTTCGTTAGTACATTTATCGAGGAAGGCTATAAAACATTGCGCTACGATTTGTAGGAGTCGAGCAGCGAGAAGCCGCGCGTTAGAAGCTAGTGATAATAAAAAAAATATTAATAAATCGTTGACGTACTTTTTACTAGACTTTCTTACGATGTATAAGTATGTATTAATTATAATTATGTAAGACTACAATTTAATTTTAAAGCATAAATATTCCAATTTTTAGATCAATATTGTTTGTTTTGTGTGTGCGTGTGCATATGTGTGTGTGAGAGACAAAGAGAAAAGAGTGTACCTAACTCTTGATGTTGACATTATGTTCAACGAAAGTTTTTCCCCTGATACAAGTAAATACGAAACATACAACATAACAACAATAGTGTCTTTTAGGGCTGATTTTTCAATGGTTAGATAAAACTTACCTGGGGAATAAATATGATGGTGTCGCATCAGAATGTTTGCATGAGACAGTGACAGCAACAATTTTATTCCTTAGATAACATTTATCTGACTATTGAAAAATCAGCCCTAAAACTGATAACTAAAGTAATAAGTACATACAATGTATGTATGTATGGCATGTATATGTAAACAAACACTTGTTAGAATGCTCTCGCTAATGAAACTGTGTTATCAAGGTGTGATGTCTATCGTTTCAGGCTTTCAGTCGTGTAACGGTCGTCGGGCGAGCCTCACGGTTTTCAGGACACGAGGAAAAGCCCGCCAATTTTCCGCGAGAATTTATAATCAAAGTTTGCGTTCGTTTTATTTCCATAAATTTGTGATCAAGTGATCGTAGAAAGAGTTTTTTTGTACATTTTGGTAATTGCAAGCAATTGGATAATTAAATTCAAATAAGTCTTTCGGGTCCGTAGCAGAAAAAAAAACAACTATAAAATATTATTCATAAATGAAAATTCATAGTCAAATTAAAAATAAAATTGCAATGCCCGAAAAATAAAATATGTATAGATTGGAAAATTAAGAGGTCATATTCAAGCGAACGTAAGTCTAAATAACTTGTTGTAGTTTAAAAAAAATACTTGGAATAATAGCTTAAATATATTTTTATATTGATTTGGTAATTCAGACCTTAACAGCAACGAGTGGCAGTGATTTGTGAAAAAAAATTCGATATTAATACGATAGAATAATAATGATGGTGCCTTAAAATGACAGGAAAATTAAATACGGTGGTCACAAGAAACACTTCATCAAAAGAAAGAGAAACTTAATAAAAATGAGAGGTAAGTTTGGGTAACGGGAAACCAATTGACCATAATTTTATACTTAAAGGAATCCTATAGATCAAAGAGTATTTTATACAACTGCCTTACATAAAAGATTTCGTGTTCATGGTCGTAATGTTTATATTTTGACGGTTATCAAAATGTATCTATGACCCACAGAGCAGGCATAATGTATTAAAAACAATTGAGTTTACATTGAAAGTTACGAGATCTGTTTATTTATTTATTTAGACTACCTTTTTTACCCGCGCCCTTGTTCGTGCTCACCTGCTGGTTTTTTTTAAACTATCCTATGTCCTTTCTCGAATTTCACACAAATAGGTTCAGTAGTTTAGGCGTGAAGAAAAGACAGACAGACTTTCGCATTTAGATTTTTATTTGGATTTATTGTGTTGCTAAAAGTAACATGTCATAAAATAGATTACATTTTTTTCAAAACATTGCCGCACGCTAGGATTTTCTCCTGTGTCGTGGGTGCGGTTACAAATATACAATTTCACATGCAATGACACCCAGACCCGGAACAACAATTTGTGGGTCCCACAAAGAGTTGTTTCGTGCGGGAATCGAGCCCGCGACACGTTGCACGGCAGCCAGTTGCCCAGCGACAGCATCAATCGTGCAGTCAATTACTACATTAGTGTACTTAATAATTACTTACAGGTATACTTCAAAAACTTTAACGGCCTTATTACAAAACAAGGTTTTTCTTTAGTTAGTCTATTTATTTATTTATTTATTTATTCTTTATTGTACACAACATTAAAATTTAACACAAAGAGCAGGCTAACAACCACAGAGTGTACAATGGTCGGTCTTATCACTCACGGTGATTTCTTCCAGACAACCTTTGGATGGAAATTAAAAAGTGAAACTGGAAATGGGCAGTATAGTGCACAATAAATACGGGAGAGAGAAAAAAAACAATATAAATAACGTATAAACTTACATACAGATGTATGTAATCTATGTCTAAACCATTGAGCCACTTTTTGTATTTCGAATTGAAGGTAGATGACAATAAGATTCAAAATTCAAAACCCAATTCAATGGTTAAAAAGAAGTTTAAAATATGCGCGGTCTGAGCAACATTAAGTATTTAGATGCAAAAAAGATAGCATTCTCTATAAGTAAGGCATCTCATATTTTTACGAGGTATCAGTTCCAGGGCTTAAGCTAAACTTTACGTAAATAATTATTGTTTATGTTTTAAATCTTAAACATCAGATTCACTAGCGCTTTGTCTGCGTGGGATTTGAAATTTCGCTACCGATTTGCGTGGGTTATGAATGAATTTGTTATTTTACAAGTAATGTAGTCACTGCATATTAATTTCTTTAGGTTGTCAGAGGTATATTCAACAAACTTTGGGTTTTATTTTCGGTTTATAATTTTTGTGTTTAGTTTTATCCGTTCTTCTTGGTTGATCAAACCAATAATTATATTAGAATCGTTTATTTTCGTAAAAGTACGAACGAAGCTATCTGCAGCGAATGTTTGTTCGTGACTAACGATATATTTAATATTGGAATTTGATGACTTTTTCATATTAAAATAAAATTATTTGTTGAGGAAGATTTTTAATAAGTCACAAGTGATCTGTGGGCGGAATGTTAATAAATACAATAAGTACCTATGTATATGTAAAACATACCATTATAAAAATATATACTAGTGTAGTAATATATTTTTATATAAGTGTGGGAGAGTCTCAGTACTTTGGCAGGAATCGGCCGACTGAACTGGAGTGATACCACGGAAAGAACACTTACGTTTTGAGTGAGGTTACTTACTCACAATCATCCCAATCCGCCTACCACAACAACAGGCCCACAAAGCCTCAAAAAACAAACAGCATGCTTCAGCATATTTCAGCTTCGTAAGGAACAAGATTTTTTAGTCTATGGTAATAAGAATGAATGTAACTTGGCGATGGTAAAAGATTTTTTGTAGTCGGCACAGTAGTTTATCAGTTTATTCATTACAAACATTGAACACAAATACAAAATTTTCCTAATATACTTTAGGGGGAAAATTTTATGCTCATTTTTCTATAAGTCATCATCATCATCATCATCAGCCTGTTGTCGTCCACTGCTGGACATAGGCCTCCCCAATTGCACGCCACTACGCTCGATGTTCTATAAGTACTATAATAATATTATTATTTTTCCGATACGTCAATTCCATTTTCTTTAAACATGGAAGAACAAGTTGGCATGTGTGGTGTATTGGTTTGCTCTGAATTGTATTTAATACTGCGCTACCATATTGCAACGATGCGACACGCGAGGCCAGGATTATAGATTATTTTTCTTTCAAGTAAAAACTAGTACAAAGTGAAATATAAAAGCTATCGCTGTATTTTATTTTCCCTTCAATTCATTAAACCTCAAGCAAACGCCCGCATTCATATTGTTCTTCTATTGTGTCTCAAATAAACACGTTTGGAAGGTAAAAAACTTAAATTTTACAAAACAAAGAAAAATATGCCTAAATTACACCTTCCTTTAGTTTAAAGTGCTGTGTAGTCCTAATTACACAAAAGGTTTTAGTTAATAACATTGTTTGTTGAAACCCAGAATCTATGTAACACAAACGGAATAAATAAATAAAAGAGTTACGTGAAATACCCTACTTAGGTACCGTCGTACATAATTAGGACTTATTAAATTAAATATTTTAAATGTATGGCTGTTTCGCGGTGAAACATTTGATGATTTCTGCCGCCCTGGGAATGGAGTTAGGTTTTATTATTTTAGGCTTACTGTGTAGAAGCCACCCCGTTTCTTATATGTATAGACCGGGGCAGCGGTATTATTGCCCTTGCATTGGCAACACCGGCTGAACATCAGCACTGGGCCTCATCCCCATCTGTGGAGATCTTCTGGCTATTTGAGACAGACAATATTTAAGGCTAGTCACATTCAGTTCGTCTATTACATTTATTTCGTAAATTAGGTTTCCGGATAATAGAATCAGATTCGGAAACCCGAATGCTTAGTCTTAAGACTCTTACTGACTAAAAACCCGCCGTTCCTTCTCCGCTCTGGGCCCAGGGCGCGACTCAGTGACTCAGTGCGCTTAACCCCGGCTGAACATCAGCCCTATAGGGTCCCGTCTGTGGTGGTCTATTGATTCTTTGAGGCGCGCGCAAAGGCTACTCGCCGAACGCTCGGCTCTGGTTCTGGTCGGGCTGTGAGCAACCCATACTCGCTATTCGCAGACCTGCGCTTACGGTGGCCAGAGATCATCTCTTGTAGTAAGCTTAGTCTCAGCTGAGAATGTGCAAGCATTTTGTTTGTGCATACTTGCATATTCAGTGGTGATTTCAGTGTCGAAGTCATTTTGACTGTACCAATTTATTATTTATTCGCGTTAGAGTGGTTTCAATAAGGTTTTATTTCAATAACCCTTTATTTATTTATTTAAATACTTTTCGCACATTGGCGGACTTATTATCGAGGGTGATAAAGAGACAGATCATGGTAGGTGCAACAGCTATAAGTGCAAGACGCTATGATCAAAACATCCCCTTAATTACAATAAATATTCTTATTTCATTAATTATAATACCATGTTTTATATTTATGACAGCTGCTTCTGTATTCGCTTAGCAATAAATATGTTTCATATACTTCATACCAGCCATAAAACGTCTGTGCTTATCTATACTAATATTATAAAGAGGTAAAATTTGCAAGTTTGTATGTAGGGGGTAATCTTTGGAACGGCTGGTCGGATTGCCAAAATTCTTTCACTGATAGATATCTACAATGTTCCTAATTGCTATAGGCTATAAAACAACGATCAAATGGAGCCGAGCAGTGGGTGAAACCGCGTGAGAGTAGCTAGTACATGTATATTTTTTACTCTTAGGGCAATGAAACGGTATAATATATTGCGTTATGTAAGTTTGTTATCGGCTACTTATAGTTATTTTCAACATATTTAATTGCATCTCATTTCAACCCGCCCTTATCCCTTATCTATCTCTTGCACATTTGATTGGCTGCAATTGCAAATTACATATCTAGGTATAAGTGATTTACAAGTGTCTGGTATTTATCAATCCAATATGGCGACTGAAAGGAGTTAACGATTAATAATTAATATTATTGTAAATGGACAAAGCGTCATTTATTTATACATACATATGTATAGTTTAAATGTAGGTAAAATAGTGTTTGTTACTAACTTACGCTAAGATGATACGGTGCTAAATCCTAGATGGAAAATTCATATATTTAAATGGAGTATTAGACTCTTATTGACTCCAGCCGGGATTGCGGGGTAAGCGCAATGAGGCACCGCGACCTCGGCCTAGGGTAGGAGTAGGAACAGAGGGTTTTTAGTCAGTAAGAGTCTGACACTCCCTCCCGCCCGACCCTGGGCGGGAGAAGTCATTTGATGATTTTCCACTCACAAAAAAAGACTCTTATTGGCTAAAAGCCACCCCGTTCCTTCTCCTGCCCCGAGTCTTGCACAAAGCCCGAGTGGATACCGGCCCTCGTTCCCATCTTTGTTTTTTAAAACGTTCGGTGCGGGGTGCGGTTACAAACATACAATTTCACATACACATGCCATCCAGACCCGGAACAACAATTTGTGGATCACACAAAGAGTTATTCCGTGCGGAAATCAAACACGCGACACGTTGCACGGCACCGAGTTGCCCAGCCACCGCACCAACCGTGCAGTCGATCTATGGTGTTCTATCTAATGGCTCTTCATCTTTTAATATTGTCTGTAATGATAAATTGTAATACTCTAATATGACTCTTAAGTACATAATAGACTGAGCTATTTTCAGTGCAGTGCTAACCAACACTAAGTAACTGACTTAGCCGAAGGTCGTTGAATATAATTTACAGAGAATTGGTCTGTCACGAACAATATGTTTAGAGGAAACATTGGCATATCACGTATGTGCTAATTACGTACCTTAAATAGACAGTACAAAGAGGATACGGACAGTTGAGTTGCAACAATGAAAAATAAGTATTTTTTATTTAAATCCCGTAATTGAATGCAATTTGCTGCGAGGATCACCTCCAAGTTTGCTTGATGCGTCTTCTTAATTGAAGTCTCGTGAAGTCTTAATTGTTTGGTATTTAGTTCAATCTCTTACCTTGTGGGGTATCACAATGGCCTGGCTTATAATATTTAAATTATTGACTACACTTTGAATATAGAACGTTTTTTTATTATAACTTTCGTGAGACATTCTAAATTATTTATTATGTTTTCGGCTGCCGAAAGCCGAAAACATAATAAATAGATCGTTTTGTTTGTTTTTACGAAGTTTAGCGGAAATATTTATTATGGTGGCGTTACAGAAGGCAAATAGTACATATCTATTTGTAATCTTTAATTACTAGGTTCTGTCTGCAGTCACCTCACTTTACGATAAGCTGTCTTGCTCTACATTATCCTTTGTTTTGTAAGGGGTAAATAAAAAATAAAAACTAATTACCTTACCTTCCATGGGTCGAGCCGGAGAGAGTGTTAGATTCTTACTGACTAAAAACCCTCCGTTCATTCTCTGGCTCTGGGCTGTGGCCGTGGTGCCTCATTGCGCTTGCCCCGCAACCCCGGCTGAATATCAGCCCTATATGGCCCCATCTATGGTTGTCTATTGGCTCTTTGAGGCGCTCTGCATTAACCTACCTTCCCCCCATACCTTTTTTATAAGAACTTTCTCCTGAAAATTACAAATAACAAAAACACACACATTTTAACGCACTCGTAACACGGATTCGTAGGCGTCAATGGGCGGCGTTGATTGCTTTATGCATATACCTCGATAGACAGTTAATCTATATATATAAAAATGAATCGCAAAATGTGTTGGTAAGCGCATAACTCAATAATGCCTGGACCAATTTAGCCAATTATTTTTTATTATGTTCGTTATTGTAAGGAGAAGGTTCTTACGAAAGTAAACTTTAGAAAAGTAAAGGGGAATAGCGGGAACTAACAACCCTTCCGGTGCCGTGGGCATTTGCTTGCAAAACAAATGACTGACACCGGGGTAGTCGGGAACCCGTGCGAAGCAGGGGCGGTCTGCTAGTTGCTAATAAAATGGATAAATCAGGAGCAACAAAGTACACCCTGGTACACCTGTTCCATGCGACATAAACGCAAGACAGTTTACACTTTTTTATTACGTAAGTATTAGTTTTAATCGACTTACGTAGTTGGAAATCAGTATCATGGAACCAATACGGTAGAAGATGTTAATTTACTTGGGTACTTACGTGAAGGGCAATGAAGGCCGTCGTGGCTACTCGATCAACTTCTACACCAAATAGCGCGGTTTCAATTTTTTTTAATCGAAATACGATTTTTCTTAATATTACCCAAGTGTAATTAAACATTACAATTATATGTTTATTAAAAATAATGAGTTACTGACGTAAATTAACTAAGAAAAGGTCTACTTGTTTCAAGTCACAGCGGAACTCTTACTACTAACACGTGGGGTTGCGGGTTAAGCGCAATGAGGCACCGCGACCTCGGCCCAGAGCAGGAGAAGGAATAGGGGGGGTTTTTAGTCAGTAAGAGTCTGACACTCCCCTCCGAGTAGTAGTCCGGGAGAAGTCATTTGATGATTTTCCCCTCACAAAAAAAACTTACACTAACACGTGAGTAAGTCGTTACCCAAACTAATATTATAAATTCGAAAGTAACTCTGTCTGTCTGTCGTTTTTTCAAGCCTAAACTACTGAACCGATTTCTGTGAAATTTGGCACAGAGATAAAAACTCGACATAGGATAGTGTTTATACCAAAAATCTGCAGGAAGCAACGATTCCACGCGAACGAAGTCGCCGCGGGCTCGCTAGCTAGTATTCAATAAATTTATTAAGGCTCACATTAGTAACTATGAAAAAAAAAATGTGTTTCGTAAAGAAAAAAGTGTGATTTTATAGTTTAAGTACAGAGAGCCTAGTGCGAGATTGCTTTATTTTATGGCGATCGACACGTTTGTGACGTTCGGCGCTCTGATTGGTTCGCTCTAAGTTAATCAACCAATCAGAGAGCTAAACACGGTAAAGTTTCGATCTCGTTAATGTAAAGAAAACACGCACTAGGCACTCAGTGGAGTGTAACACCTGTGACACTCACACCACAGTCGGAAGGTTGGCAAGCATAACATCACATGTATAAGGCATTCATCCATTTAAATATGTAACAATTTGGCCAACGAGTGAAATTGGCTTTAAAAGCCGTAGTGAGCCGCTTAATGTACATACCTATAATGTATATATAACACATTTCTTATCTCACGTCGTATACGCTATTAGCTTCTCTATACTTACCTATACTCTCTCTACGGACAGCATAAACTACAATCTAGGTTGAATAAAGATTACTTTTTTCTTTAAAAAATTCTCTTACACCGTGTAATTAAAATGATGTTATATTGTTACCACCTTAGAGTTTTAATTACATTAGCACTAATTGTATTGGAGGAAAGAGCATTGAGTAACGGCACTACACGTGTTCATCGGGTATTGAGTGCCTTATATCGGCAAACAGCGTAGCGGCTAGCACAGATAAATTGATTAGCTGTACATTCTGGTGCCTGTCGCCTACACAGCGCACACAAATGTGAGCTTAACAAAACATAACATAACACTATTATCCATTGTAAACAAACATAAATATAACATCTTACTTCCTATTTTGATGTAATAATTAACAAAAGAGAGTCCTAGAATACTCTTTCGAGCAATGCTCTACTAGTTTCAAATAATACTGGGGTTCATATTTATGATCAGTTCACTGCTGAGCAAAGGCCTCTTCTCGTACGAAGAAGGTTAAGTATTATCACTACGCTTGCTCAAGGCGGGTTGTCGATATCAAACTTATAATTAGAAATTATGGTTCCAGGTTAGGTACCCTTACGATCTCACCGGGTGTTTAAATAATCTTAGAATATTATGAGATTAATAACAGTACATTATTGCTCTAATGTACGTAACGTTACTGTAATGTATGTATCACGCTTGTACCATAATTGTACATTATGGTACAAGCGTGTAATGTTGGCGATCACCGCAGAGGCGTTGAGTTGAGTTGAGTCTAAGGAGCCGAGGACGGTAATCATCAATACACACGTGCATCATACGACGTTTTTCAACACACTTCTGAATAAAATAATATCTAAATAAGAAACTTCAAAAGAGAAAACGAGACGAGTTGTTAAAAATGTATCGTAATGGCGGGAAAAATTAACCAGTATTCCTATGCGCGCACATCGGCCACAGACTAAAAATTGTTTTGTTTTTTTTTGGCTTTTCGTGGATAGCATTTTAAAGCAAGGGTAAAGCGTAACTCATCCTATACCTAATTTGAAAAATAAACTCTCACTCACTTGTGAATAATGAAAAGTCACAGTTTGATTGTAGGTGTCAATACGTGCCTAATTGCCGTGGAATTGGACCCACTTTATGAGGAAATGTTTTGAAAATATATTTATTTGTTCACAGGAACTCCAGAGGCTCTGGTTTTATTGAGTTTGGTGACGGTCGTGACTCCCGGGTTCCAGTTTCGGAGTAGAAATGCTTCGGATGCCTCAGTGAGCAAGCCTTGTGCTCTCGGAGAGTATACGAGCAGAGCCCAGTGTACGCAGACACAGTATAGACTTGTATGCAAAGACGGTCTCGCCAGTTATTGGATGCGAGGGATCAAGTGAGTATTCTGTGCTTCATCATCATCATAAGCAGCCTATAGGTGTCCATGCCTCTTCTGACTCGGAGAAGGTTTGAGCATTAATCACCTCGCTTGCTCAAAGCGGATTGGCAATTTCAAACTTATAATAAGCCTTATAATTATAAGTCTAGGTTTCCTCACGATGTTTTTCCCTCACCATAGGCGGCACCGGTAAGCCATCGGTGCCGCCTAAAGACACAATACATGCAACACCAAAGCAGCGTTAGCGTCAAGTAGCGATTTGAGTATTGGGGATTTGGGGATTTGGACGGGAGGCAGGGATTATGGGTCTCCGGTAACTTTAATAACACTATGAAATAGAGCTTTACCGTTGTTTAACTCACGTTTTATTTAAGAATTGTTGAGCTGACCTATTCCCAACCATTGTAATCGTACATTTAGTTGTAACTTCATGGTGTCAAAAGGATAGTTTTTAAAGGCTTTTGGTTCGATGTCATCAAAAGGTTGTGTAAAATTATACAATTTTACTGTTTTATTTCCTAAGGTATAAATCATTTTATTTGCTTTAGAAACACAGGTATAATAAATAATATTTGGATGTTTGATGTTCTTCATATAATTATTTTGTCTTTTCTAACATAATAAAATTATAATTGTTAAAAGGTTACATTAATTAGCTTGTGCGGTTTCATGGGAAGCCGTGTTTGTCAGCACAGCACTATATTGTGGCCCCGCCTTTATGTTTCACAATTAAAAATGAGTTTTGTTTCGTGATCAAAAGAGTTGATATTTAAGTGAAATATGTATTTGTTTTACGCTACAAAATAAGCACTTTATTATTAAAGGAATTATACATCAAATTTGGCATTCATACAATTGGAAGTACAGCGAATTTCATAGGTCTTTTTTTAATAAGAAATACACGCCACACAAATTGACATTAGAGGTTGTCAAAATGTTTCCAATATGTAAAAATACTTATAAATAAAGTTTATTCCAAAACTCGTAATCTAAAATATACACTTTTGCTTAAAGTTATACCAAGTTCATAAAATTGGGTGCCTGATCTAGGACAAACTGTGTTTCAGGCGAAAATTGGTAAAAAGATATTATACATTGTTAAATAATCATAAGTAGGTACATAATTGTTTTTAAATTAAGGAGATAATGTAATTATATAACAAATCTTATAAAATACTAGCTGTCACTCGCGGCTTTGCTCGAGTGGTATGATGAGAAAAGTCAGCATAGGTTATGAATTAAGCCAGCGTATCGCCTATCTACATACCAAATTTCACCAAATCAGCAGTATTGCGAGTTTGCCAGACTTCGTGGCAAGGTAAATAATGAGACTGTAGATGGTTAAGGTCTGTTTATTACTTTAATTGCTGGTGCTTATATACTAAGAAGATGCGTGAGATTTTCAGATTTAGCTATCCTAACAAACGTGCAACAATTAACATGTATGTCTTATCTCTATCGTATCTAAGTAATGTAGCGACGTGATAGTGCCGCTACATATACTCCCCCCTTTTAAAAATAATTAACATATAAATTGAAAAAAATTAGTATGTACCTAATTATATAATAACTTAACCTTGCTGATAAATTACATCCTATGCGTAATGTAATGTCATTGTTGCTAATTCGAAGGAAATAAAAACTGCTGCCTTAGTTGTGACGGCGGCGGCAGTCGATGAACTATCCACTGCATTTGTGCTGATTGTTTCTTGCTATTGTTTTCACTCTTCTGTCTAAGGTCTTCAGTATTCCGTAGAGAAGAAGGATGCCAATTGTGATGAGGATTTGTCCAATTGCAATGTTTCTCGTCCACCGTAGCTCTTCCAGGACAAGACTTTTGAGATGGTCGGCTTCATTTTGATTAAGGCAACTGTCGGAGTTATATACGATTTGATCTTTGGAGCTTTGGTTGCCCATTGTTCTCTCGTAGATACTGACGGTATATGATGGTATTTTCAAAATACGGTGAGTATTTAAATGGACTGATTACTTGTGTCAGCAAGTGACGAATCGTACTGTCGGCTTAACCGCCCGTCCTGACTTCGTGATGTACGTGTTCCGCCCGTTGTGATTATTTTCTGAATTTGGCACGTTCGTTCCACTATTGAAGACAAATGCAGGTTTTAATCGGTCTATAGATATTGCTTTTTCATTGTCCCCAATTTTAATGATAAACGTCTTATCTATCCTCTTTGTCACTAGAAATGGTCCTTCGTATGGTGGTGTTAAACTTTTCCTTATTCTGTCACAGCGCACGAATACATGTGAGCATTTGTTGAGCTCGGGGTGAATGAAAACTGTTTGTTTAATTTTCTTGCGTTTTGATGTTGATGTCATACGAGAAATGTCCTTTTGTATATTTGTGACAAATTCTTCGTATGTCGAAGGCTGTGACGATTCAAAAAATTCTCCGGGAAGCCTTATAGGTGCGCCATATATCATCTCTGCTGCACTATATCCTGTGTCCTCGCGTACACAACTTCGTAATCCAAGTAGAACTGAAGCAATTTCGTTCATCCAATTAGCATTAGATTCTCTTGATATTAGCGCCGCTTTTAAAGTTCTATGAAATCTCTCTATCATTCCATTTGATTGTGGGTGATAAGGCGTTGTTCTAATTTTGTGTACTCCTAAAAATTGTGAAAGTGATTCAAATATTCTTGATTCAAATTGTCGACCTTGATCCGTAGTAATGCGTAATGGGCATCCGAATCTTGCTATCCATCCCTCATACAGTATGCGCGCTACTGTTTCGGCTGTGATATCTTTAACGGGAAATACTTCCGGCCAAGAAGTACAGCGATCTATCATTGTAATTAAATATCGCTTTCCTTGAGAAACAGGTAACGGTCCAACAATATCGATGTGTAGATGTTCAAAACGTTGAGATGGCATAAAGTTCCCGACAGGTGATATAGTGTGGCGTTGCACTTTTGATTTTTGACAAGCTAGGCACGATTTACACCATTCATTTATATCTTTATTCATACTTGTCCATAAATATCTTTGAGTTATCATTTTCCTAGTAGCTCTCTTCCCAGGATGACTCAGTCCATGCATGACATTAAAAATTTGTCTCCGAAATTTTTCTGGTAAATAGGGGCGATTTTTTTCTGTAGATATGTCACAGGCGATGACTTCAGTAGAACCCGGAACCTTGATATTTGAAAATTTTAAATTCTTGTTATTACGAAGTCGTAATAATTCTTGGTCATCATGCTGACATCTTGCTAAATCAGCATAATTAATCGGTGATGGCACATCAATTTGTTCTATCCGTGATAATGCGTCTGCTACAATATTGTCACGTCCTTCTATATGTTGAATGTTGGTACAATATTGTGAAATAAAATCCAGTTGTCGTATTCGCCGTGGCGTATCATTAGATGACGGTTTTTGGGAAAATGCGTAAGTCAAAGGTCGATGATCTGTAAAGATAGTAAATTCTCTTCCTTCGACTAACCTTTGAAAATGTTTGACTGCCATATATATTCCGAGCAACTCTCTGTCGAATGTCGAGTATTTTTGTTGAGTATCACTTAATTTCTTTGAAAAGAATCCTAATGGTTCCCAATTACGTCCTGACTTCTGCTGCAGAACTGCGCCAACACAGGTCGAACTGGCGTCCGTCATAAGTGCCAAAGGGGCGGTGCGAGAGGGGTGAACTGTTAATACTGCGTTCATTATATTTTTCTTGCATTTATCAAAAGCTTTTTCGGCCTCTGTTGTCCAAGAAATTGGAGAATTATCATTCTTTTTAGAGTCGTGCAGGTAGTTGTTTAAGATAGTTTGATATTCAGCGGCATGAGGGAGATTGTTTCTGTAAAAGTTGATCATTCCTAAAAATCTTCTTAGCTCCTTGATTGTCGTAGGTTTAGGAAATTCCATAATTGCTTTGTACTTTTCCTCCGTTGGTCGTATTCCTCGACGTGTTGTATGATAACCCAGAAAATCTATTTCACTCTTAAGAAAGTCACATTTTTCGAGATTAATTGTTAATCCATTTTCATGTAAACGTTTGAAAACCGTATCCAAATGTTGATAATGTAGAGCCTCGTTTTCAGATGCTATAAGACAATCGTCGACGAATATGAATACGAAATCCAAATCCCTGAATAGCGAGTCCATGAATCGTTGGAATGTTTGCGCCGCATTACGTAAACCGAAAGGCATTTTTGGAAATTCGAAAAGTCCAAAAGGAGTGATAATAGCAGTTTTTTCCACATTTTCTACAGGAATGCAGTGGTACGCCTTTCGAATATCAATTTTGGAAAAGATTTGCTTCCCTTCTAGTATGTAAGTGAAATCAGTTAGTCGTGGAAGTGGATATTTGTCCGGTACAGTCACGCTATTGAGCATTCTATAATCTCCACATGGTCTCCATTCACCGTTCTTTTTCTTAACCATGTGCAAAGGACTAGCCCATGGGCTGTCCGAAGGGCGACAAATGCCAAGCTCCATCATAGTCTGAAATTCTTTCTTTGCTATATGATATTTATCAGGAGGTAATGGTCTTGCACGTGCTGATACCGGTGGTCTTTTAGTGATAATATGATGCTTAATCTTGTGTTTTGGAGTAGTGTGGAGGGAGGCTGGTTTCGTAATATCCTCGTATTCATTTAATAGTTGAGTAATGCGTGGATTCGTCTCAATGTTAATAGTGCGGATTGTTTGCTGCGTCGATTTGATCAGGGTTGCGGGCGTTGTCAGCTCAGTTACCCTATCTATGAGTTTTCGACCAGCTATATCGACTAATAGCTTATAATGCTCTAAAAAATCTGCTCCAATAATCGGTTGTGTTACATCGGCGATGACAAAGTTCCATACAAAGTTTCTTCGTAGCCCGAAGTTTAAAGAGAGTGTTTTTTCACCATATGTCTTAATTTTTGTACCATTGGCGGCATAAAGTATACATTGTTCATCTTGTATTAGTGAATGTCTCTGTGGCTTGCTAATAACTGAAATATTTGCTCCCGTGTCAATCAAAAATCTCATACCACTTTTTCGGTCGGTAATAGTGAGGCGGTTGGACGGGTGAATAGCACAGAGTTCCGCCGTTGTCCGTGCTTCAATTAGTTTCCCTGTTTCCTTGAGTTGAGATCCTGTTTCCAATCACAAGGTTGAACACACTTTTGTGCATATTTCTTAAATCTTCCATGGTAAAAACAAAAGTGCCTTCTTTCTCTTGAACTTGACTGTGGTAGGAAATGCCGACGATTGGAATAACTTTGAGTGCTGCGTCGATAGTTTTTTTGACCTTGCTGAATTGCATTTAGTTCCAATTGCATTTCTGCTAACTGTGCTAGTATGCATGACATTGTATCGTCGCCAGATTTGTTTCCGTTTACAGCTGACACCTCTGTACGTGTTGAATTTATTAATATCTTGTCCGCGATCTGGCTCATCTTGTTCACATCTATGTCTTCTGTGACTGCTAGAACCGAAGTCACTGATGGTGGCAGAAGCCTCAACCATAGAAGTTTGATGGTTTCGTCGCTGATATTTCCGTTACTCAGGGTCCGCATCTTGCGCAGAAGATGTGATGGTTTCTGGTCGCCGAGATCCATTTCAGACAATAATTTTTGGAGCTGACGTTGGTCTGATTCCTCATAGCAACTGATTAGGCGTTCTTTGATAGCCTTGTACTTTTCTATTGGCGGTGGGCAAGTAATGAGGTCACTAACCTGTATTATTTCTTCTTTTGGCAGTTTTGCAATGACCGTATAGTACTTGTAATCGTCTCCTTGCTTCTGTGGTGCTACTATGGCTTCTAGTTGCTTAAACCATAATCTGGGTTGGTCCCTCCAAAATTCCGGAATACGGGATAAAATGGCGGTTCCGGCTGATATCTCCAAGGCTTCTTGTTGGCTGCTGCTTGATTTGCAGGGTGAATGAGTCATGTTGATTGTTCTTCGTCGGGTCACCAATTTGCCAGACTTCGTGGCAAGGTAAATAATGAGACTGTAGATGGTTAAGGTCTGTTTATTACTTTAATTGCTGGTGCTTATATACTAAGAAGATGCGTGAGATTTTCAGATTTAGCTATCCTAACAAACGTGCAACAATTAACATGTATGTCTTATCTCTATCGTATCTAAGTAATGTAGCGACGTGATAGTGCCGCTACACATGACTTAGTGCGAGTTTTCTGAACGTTAACGTGGTCTAAACGTTACCGTTTTAGCTCTCTGATTGGTTGTTTAAGTTGAAGCCGACCAATCAGAGCGCTGAACGTCCTAAATGTCATTATCCTGTAAACAGCCTTAAAGTAAAGCTAATTCTCAATAAGTTCTTAGATAAATACACATAAAACACCTACTAATACATATAGCAGCCGAGGTTGCGGGGCAAGCGCAATAAGGCATCACGGCCTCGGCCCAGAGCAGGAAAGTAACAGGGGGTTTTAAGTCAGTAAGAGTCTAATACTCTCTCTCGCCTTACCCTGAGCGGAAGAACTTATGATGATTTTCCTCTGATAAAAAATAAGACAATTTGCGATGAAAAGGTAATATTTATCATTGTTCATTTTGATATTCCCTTTACACATAAATAAAGTCGACTAAGGGCTGATTATCCAATGGTTAGATAAAAGTTATCCGGAGAACAGTTATGATGCTATCGCGTCAGAATGTTTGTATCAGACAATGATAGCAACAATTTTATTATTCAGATAATATTTATCTGACTATTGAAAAATCAGTCCCAAGACAGATAAACATTTAAACAAAACGTTAAAATTTAAACAAAATATTTGTTCCAGACGCGAAATAACTCACCTTCATCTGATGAACTGGCCCGGAGAGTGCTTCAACGTCGCCCGCCTTCAGTACCACTATCCAGAGCTCGTATTCTTAGAATTCATCAACGCCACGTCGCTCAAGAGCTTCAAGGGCCATTTCAGTGCTGTGAACAAAATTGAGGTTTGTATCGATTTACTTTTGTTGCTATTTGCTTACCGAACTATCTCGATTGATTTTAACTCGATTACTCGTTTATATTCGAATCGATTTCATAATCAAAGTTAAAGTAATTTGTATCAAGTATTTCTCTTCAAGATGAAAACAAATGATAAACGTTATTTGATATTCTATATTGATATATTTCGTTCTTTTACTCGCATGTGTGTTAATTGATGTTTATACCGAAAAGACGGTCTCGTATAATTAAACATCAAGTAATTAGGAATATATGAAGATTGGTATATAAAGAGTAGGTAGCTAAGATCTGAGATTATTGGTTATTGACATCAAATTACTTAACGGATAAGTCATGTCATGTTGTTATTAAAACCACTTTGAATCACAACTCCACCCGCGTAGAATGGTGACAACAGCTAAACTGTTTTCTTTCCAATTTCCAAAACAAACTCTATCGTGTCTGTATGTTTAATAGCTATACTAACGACAAGAAAGTTTTATCTAAATCCATCAATTAGGTTCGGAGATTAGGGTGTGCAAGACAGATTTATTTATTTTCTGTATTACTATTTTCTTGTTACTTAGTCTATTTTTGTTTCATAAAAAAAAGTGACGATTCAAAGTGTAGATTCCGATGGAGAGGAACGAGCAGGAAACTCCATGGTTACTCTTTCTATTCAGTTTCAGTCGGAATAACGGCTTCCTGTGTTGAGTACCAGGAAAATACGTGCTGCGTATATATATTAACAAATAATTCCAAGTAACAAAGATTGGTATTTTATTTTTAACATCTTAGTGTTATTATATTTTTATGTTTGTGAAATGGCTTCAATCGCGCGATTGGATTACTTGATTGATGGACAAACAGACGTATTGCGCCTCCAGTAACCTCACTTCTATGGCAAAATAAAACGCTTAATTTCAATTCATCATCATCATCGGCCTAGTAGTGCCCACTGCTGAGCAAAGGCCTCTTCGCATACGGAGAAGGTTTGAGCATTAATCCGCTTGCTTAATGCGGGTTGGCGATTTCAAACTTATAATTAGAAATTATAAGTCCAGGTTTCCTCACGATGTTTACCTTCACCTTCCCACCTTCACAAAGTACTTACATATAACTGGGAAAAAGTCACATTGGTACTTGCCAGGTTTCGAACACGCTCATGCATGAGAAGCGGGTGCCTTAACCTCCGGGCCACCACGACAACGCTTAATTACTCAACGGTTTTCTCTGAGGCCGTAATATCTCTCCGGTCGAGCGAAATTATCGGAATTATCTAATAAAATATTTAATCGGAATTACATTAATTATAGAAATCGATATAAGTCTATGAAAAGGATATTCATATAATAAAAAGTATTATAAAGTCACAAGCAAACGCTAGTAATATGATACTAAACACGGTATAAATATCTTAACTTTATTTTTTTACTCAGCATGTTATGTCTGTTAGAGGACGCCACATTAGATTTTGTGATACCCCATATGGCCTATAACCAGCGGACAATTAAGACGTTTCTAATGATATGTCATATGTCGAAATCTGACAAGTAGTTTAGAAGTTACGAAGGAATAGATGAACATACATACGTATATACATACATAGCCTGTCAAAATCATAACTCTCCTTTTGCTTTGCCGTAGTCGGGTAAAAATTGATCTAGAACTTTCTGTTCTACTGTAGGAAAAGTTCGATGCACCGGATTAATATTAGTTTCAAGCTTTTAGTCGGTCGGAACTTTTCCAGCTTTAACTTAATGATAATAAGAAGGTAAGGGTACTTAAACTTCATGTATATAATATGTTCGTTAAATATGCCATAAATATGACACGTCAATATATGTACACTATATACAGTCTAGATGAGGCATTTTCTATGTGAGTGGCCTGATAAGAAGTACCGAAGCAAACTCAGACGTTAGTCTCTTGTATTATTTACAACAACCATGCATTTTCTTTGTGTAGTGGTTTTTGAGGAACCAGCCACACCAGTTTGAGTGGACCTCCCCTAACAGCATGTGTCTGCTTACAAACAGCTCAACTAACAGCTGATGCTGAATTGTCCAGCAAACAATACCGACCAAAGAGTATTTGGGTAGATCGCTCGTATACTTAAATTGTCATTCATAAATAATTAGTAGTTAAAAGATTACAAAGTTTCACATGGTAAAAACTAAAAAAATTGTCAGCTCCGTAACGCCTACGCCGCGTTGCGCAAGCTGCTCATGAAAATAAGACTCCCGGTATGGCTTGAAACTAGTCATAACACCTGACTCCCGAGAGGTGTCTTGTTCTTTATCTCCAGTTAGTCCTCCTGACGAGCTGGAGTGAAAACTGATAAAGAACAAGCCCTCCTACCTCATTCTTGCATTAATTAGCTGGCTTGAGTGGAGATTTGCAAGAGTAGGAGTTGAAGGAGACTCGGGGGAAGGATGTATCTCAGTAAGGGCTGGTAGGGGTCTTGGCCGTACTTCCGGGATTGCTCTGATAGCCGTGGGATGCCTTTCCTTCCCCGAGCAGCTCAACGTATGTTGCCTCCGTGTCATTTCACAATAGTCCTGCATCAACCGGGGATTGTTGATTGTTGTATTTATAGTCGATATCTCATGATTGATATTACCTAATTATTAATTTTCAATAAAATATATGTGTATAATTTTACACTTTATGCCAATTTAAAATAAACGTGAACTTATAATAAATACCTAATGCTTAAATTTATGTAAAAGGTTTATAAAAAAAACAATCTGACGACACACTTAACCTGTACCTACATGCTTCGGTAATTTGTTGCTTATAAGTAGGCCGCATCCATCAGTAGCTTTTGTTATCAGCCAGTGATCGCGAAATATGATAATAATAAACAATATTATGTTCTACAAGCCTATAACGAGTTTAATATAAAAAAGTGTTTATCTTATCTATAAGTTATCGGACACTCATAATGTATTCAAGCTACCGAACTGTCTCGATAATGGCGAAACTATTTTGTTTCTTTACTAACGAGTTCGAAGAAAGGAGAAAAGTTTGTTAGTACTGCTAAGATGAAAAAAAGTTGGGGCGAGGATGTTGAAAATTGTTTACAGTGAGTCAACTTGGTTTTAAAATAATTATGGATGTTTTGAGGTCAGTTTCTTAATTTATCATATTCGATTAAAATGGGCATGCATAAAGTTTTTATGCCCACCAGATAGTGCTGATATGGTGTAAGAACTTGTTTGTTCAATCATCCATGGTTGTATTATTGGCAAAAATAAAATATGTATTAATTTTTTTTTGTTTAATGTCTCTATTCCTAGATAGTATTAGGTCCAATTAAAATTATTATTAGTGTTTTATTTTGCATTTCAATAGAACCAATTCATAACACGAAACTCTTTTTAAAACTTAAGTCGACTGGCGAATATTTGAAAAGTCAACTAAATCTAAAGAAATGTCATGAAAGAAAAATAAACTTATTTATACCTGGCAAGGATTAATAGTGTTCGGAGAAACGGAACGCGATTAGGACCTCTTTCAAGTGCACAGTGTACAGAATTCTTTATTTTACACTCTATAAGATTAAATAGAAATAGTTAATTAATCACATGACAAGTTTACCCTGATGCGCTGACAACGTGTCGCCGCAACGTTGCAAATCACGTAACTGACAATTTATTTATTGGAAACGGAAATGTGTCATTGTTTATTGCCTACAATGTCATTTTGTTATTATCACTTTAACACAGTGTAGGCTAGAGTAACGATTATAAAGGTTAGAAGGTTTTAGTTTTAATGATTCTAGATCGGAGATCATATTAAAAATTAATATTTTAACTATGTATTTCTGAATATGATGTGTTTAAATGATCGATTATAATTTTCTGAATGTAGGTAAACGAGAAAATATTTGAAAAGGTTTTTCTGTTTTTTTTTCATTGATAGATTTGCGAACTAGAAGTCGGATTACCGTGAGTACGGTGGGCAATCGGTGCCGATCATGCCCCGCAACAAAATGGGGATGGGGGCTACGAGCTCGTTGCCGGCCGTTTGGAGATTTAGGGATTATCGAGGGTTTTCTTTTATGTTATAGGACGGCAAACGAGCGTACGGATTACCTAATGGTAAGCAATCAGCGCCGCCCATGGACACCCGCAACCACGGCGGAGTTACGAGTGCGTTGCCAACAACAACAACAACAACACAAAAACTTTTGGGGATGAGGCATTTGGAGATTTTGGAATTCGGGGAGAGGAAGAATTGGCGCGGTGACCTCATTCACACGGCGAAACACAACTCTGTCATTATTTCACGCCGGTTTTCTGTGAGCATGCATCTACTTCTGGTCTAGAAAATTTTCAAGTTAACCTATTTTTAACATGACCTGTGATGATCCCATGATTGGTCTACGTATGTGACATTCGATTTTGTTTTGGTATCAGATCTGAATAAAACGTAGGTTTACTTCGAAATTGATAGCGTTGCAACTGATTTGAATAATAGAATAAATATTACAAATAAACATTTACAATAATAATGACTGAATAAACAGACATTTTGTTCAGAAAAACCTGCTAAGGACTGGCTTACGTACCTAACCATTTAATTACTGTAAGTACCTACGTCGATGAGAACGAGTACCTACGTATACATAGGTACAGTTTAGACAAATTTATTCTTATGACCTTCGAAATACAGACGGTAGTTGAATACCAAATAGTTTCTACTTATTTATACACACGTACGGTAGACAACCTACACCAATAAATTTTTAGTTGTATGCTAATGCTAATGTATTCTCTACCCACACATACAGACGAAACAGAGGTTATTAAACTCATTTTAAAACTGCGACGTTCTGCGAAGTTCAGGGTCTCGACGATAACGGATAATCTCCTCATTTTAATAGTCGCATGTAATGACAATAATATTATTTTTATCGAATTATTGGTCTAGTCAATAATGTCACATAATAGGGAAATGTTTTTTTAAAATATAAAACCTATTTGTTTCGGCCATTAGACTCAAAAACATTTGCTTTTAAATATTGTAATTAAATATAGAACAGTAAGCCTTTCTTGGTATCGGGCGACAACACAACAACGGGCTGATAAACCAATACTTAATTCAGTAGGTAAATCTGTGTTTTGTTTGGCTGAGCAACAACACTACAAAATCCCTCGGCCACAGAAACGATCAACTATGGGCGAGTCATATTTTGGCACAAATAGGTCGGCTCGACCGGAGTTATACCACGGCTGCAAGGCATACCGACGTGAAGCAACACTTACAAATGCTGGTGTGACGCCAATCCTTCCTCCATCATTAATCCTCAAATCCCCTTTCCTTAAATCCTTTACAACCACAAGAAGCCCACAACGCACGTGTAGTAGGTAGTAGTCCTTTGGTATTAAGAGTGTCTATGGGTGGCATCGATTGCTTACCATCAGGTAATCCGTCTGCTCGTTTTCTCTACGTAATAAAAAAAACATATATGTACCTAAATATAATTTACGTAACAAAACTCACATACATACTTTTAAATCTAATCAAAAAGAATTGTTTACATGATGCAATAAAAACTATTAATATCGGTGACGTGATCCCACTCGAGATGTCGGGCAAAATCGATTCTCTTTGCTCCTAGTAACTAACTCGATGTTCTAGATCACATTTTCTTTTTTAAATCGAATAATGAAAGCAAATGTGAGCAATTATAGACAAATATTATTTATGATCGTCTTTTAGTTTTTAGTTAGTTTTAGGTGTTGGTACAGAGTTTTATATACGAGTACTTAAGGTTTATTTTTGAAGTGGAAAAATGTCATTTTTTTACATAATGTTAATTCAAGTCAAAAAGTCAATCCATGACTGCCTTTGACCTGAATTTCCGGAACAAACGTGAAATTTATTGGATTCGTTTCCAGAATTTTTAGACTGTAGGCTAATTAAGATGACACTTATATGTAGTTTACTAGCGACCCGTCCCGGCTTTGCACGGGAACAATGCCGATATAAAATCTCTCCACTATTTAATGGATGTTATTATAATAATATAATATAATAGTAAATTTATTTATTTCCACATTAAAAGGTACTATTATACATGCATATAAACTTTCCTCGTTAACCACTCTATTAAAAAAACAGCATCAAAATCCGTTGCGTAATTATAAAGATGTAAAGCGACTTTGTTTTATACCATGTAGTGATACGAAGCATGAAACCGGGGCTGGAATAAATAGAAGAAAAAAAAACATTGTTTTTTGTTTGCATTTTTTTCTTAATATTAATGAAACTGAAAAACTTTTTCCAGATTCAAATTACCATTGTTTATTTTTTCACAACAGAAATTGGTCATCCACGGGCTGATGTCACTATGGGAGCTACCTCCAGAGATAGTGATGGATATGCCAGTTCTAAAAGAGCTGGACCTTCGGGGGAACATGTTGAGACATATCAAGTCGTCGCTGTTGACGGGACCAAGGAGTTTGGAAGACGTTTATTTAGCAGGTGAGTTGTAATTAAAACTCTATTTAGTTGGTATTTGGTCTTAAATTAATCAGTAAGAATCTTGTTGTTCGAAAGGAATGTAATTTAATAAGTCAAGTTTATTATTTTTGATGTCATGGTGATTCGGGATTGAGACACCGGCTTCTCATGTATGGGGGCTTCAAACACAGACTTTTCCGAGTTATATCTACTGTCTATGATTATTTAGACACCATTACAAACGGTGAAGGAAAAACCCATGAGGAAATCTGGACTTAGAATTTCTAATTTTAAGTTTGAAATCGCCAATTCACCTTGAACAAACGTGGTGATTATTGCTCAACCGTTCTTCGTGTGAGAAGAGGCTTTAGCAGTGGATAGTTATAGGCTGATAGCGTGATGTGTGATATGTATTATTTTTACCCCACTTTGGGTGAGGTGAGAGGGAGTTTGAGACTCTTATTGGCTAAAAACTACCCGTTTGTTGTCCTGTTCCGGGCTCCGCTTACGGAGCACCCGCAAACTAGGTTGGATCAGTACCTAAGCATCTACTAAACCTAATAAAATTCCAGAATAAAATACGTTATAGGAAGAATTGCAAATGCGAAATGCACGAAAAGATGCATTCAATACAAAATGTCGTTCCATTCTCGTAGGTACAAAACAATAAATACGACTGATAAAATGAATAACCCGCGAGGCCAATGCCCCCGACAAAAAACTACAGATTACTTTTTATATCGCATTAGAGATGGACCGAATGTGTGTTTTGCCGAATTCGGCTAAACCGAAACGCATTTATAAACGACGCCGAGCACAAAACGAGTATTTTCCCGACTTCAACAAGCTTCGACACGAATGGCTCGGCGAACTGGAATACCACGATACCACGGCCTCACAGAAAACCGGCGTGAAACAATCACGGCCTTGTGTTTTGCCGTGTAAGTGAGGTTACCCGAGGCATCCATATTTCCCCTCCCCCAATCCCCAAAAGGTCGGCAACGTATTCGTAACTCCTCCGTTTTTCCGGGTGCTCATAGGCGGTGCTGATTGTTTACCATCAGGAAATCCGCATGCTCATTAGTCGTTCTATCACATAAAAATCGGTTTTGTTCGGCCGAATTATTTTTGCCGAACTGAGGAATTTTAATTTGCCTACCTCTAATCGTTTGTGTACGGACATCACGTTTTTTTTTGTTTATTTTTACGAGCATACCAGAATTAACCTTGTCTGCCCTTCTATTCGACAGTACTTCGTCATGGTAGGTGTGATATAGCTTAAGTGATGTACCTATAGGTTATAGAAATCTACACATCTAGGTCTATCTATACGAATTTAGGTATTATCTTAAACAATGTACAGTAATCCACCTATAGTAGGTACACCTACGCAAAATTCTCTATTTAGGAGATGTTGACGTATTTTTCGGAAATAAAATTAGAAAATGTTAAACAATTTACTTTTAATTTTGAGTCTACTCAAAATTTAATAAGGTCAATAATAATATTATATTTAAATAATTAAATTCGTACAAGTACGAATTTACAAACTAATTAATAATTAAAACCTTTAATCTACACGTGACCACAGCTAATTAATTTTTCGTGGCGCAGATTATATTATTAAGCAGAAACTATTTCCCAGTGGAATCGTTTCATGATATTCACGGATGAGAGAATATTATCTTCGTTAGATTCAGTAATAAGAGAATTTCATGGGAATATTGGTCTAATATTGGTAGCGAGGCATTATGTACTTATTTGATTCGACAGGTACATTTATAACTAACAGGTAATGTGTGAGGGTGTCCCAGCGTATAAGGGTGAAAAATTTTTTTTCGAATTTAGTTATGCATACCCTTTATATTTTTTCTAAATGACTCTAATAACCAAAATATAAAATATCATTGGGATCGGATAACGATAACCCGTGCCGACTTGATGGCAAACTTTTAACAAAATTTTTGTATGAAAAATACCGAGGACATTTTAGAATGTCACTTTTATTCAATAAATAAAGTATTATTTTAACTCAGTTGTATATTTAGTTTAAACTGATTGATTATATTATTGATTTATTATATAAAAGTTATTTAAAAAAAATTATTTTCAGTTTTTTTTACAGTCTGGATATAACACTGTGTTCCTTTACGCCACGTAGTGAAAATTGTTTTTGTTCCTCTTCAACATTAATCTTTCCATGGAAGTCTCGCATTAACTTAATCGCTCTCTCTGCAGTATCATTGACAGCTCTTAGTGCCATCATCTGGTTTTAGATTGTACAAACGCAGCATTATTAGAAGTAGGACACTTTTTGAGAAAACTGTCATCAATTTTCAAACGATTTAACAAGGCCTTGCTTTTGATGGAAACGAATTCGTCTATGTTTTTCTCGTACATATAAGTCCTCTTTCGAGAGGATGTAGCGTTTACTGCGAGCTGAAGGGTTTTCCTTCTATAAGTTATTAACCCTTCTTATTTTCGTTTCGTGGTCTACGTCGTAGTCAAACAGATCACAAAACAGCCACTTCGTCTATTAAATACCATAAATACTGACAGAAAACCAATTGTTTTGTAAGCTTTCGTAGCATCATATTCAAGAAGCACATAATATCCTGGTAAGGTGAGAAGGAGAGCTATGTAATTAATTAATACATTTATTAATTGAGAATAAAATTAAGAGCTATAAATTTAGGATTTCCAACAAAAACTAAGCGGTACTGTTAGGTGTCAACTTGTTCATTGTTATGTGCTACGTCAAACCTTGGATGCAGTGCATATTAGCAGTTAAAGCACCTTACCAGGATATGCGCTTCTTGAATATATTCCTTAATAAACAAAGGAATATCTGGGCTGTTGGTCACTTGTAGACTTGCTATGGGAAATTCGTCAATGTTGAGTCCAATTGCCTCCATAGTAGCTTCAATAATAAACACAGAATTCCTCATATTTAACTTACACCTATCTACAACTGCTACTAACTTCGGAGTGAGGAAATTGTTCCTCATTTAAGTTTCATTAGAATTTGAATATACGCTGTCGGTGGGGATGGGCAAACGTTGACGTTTTTGATCCTTTATTCTTAGGAAGTTCGCTTTTTCGTCCTTGCCGGTTAACTTTTTATCCAGCTAAGTGACCAGGTATACCTGGCTCTTTTTGGAGCTGCAAGAAAATCCTAACTTAATTTATCTCTAATTGAAGCGCATCGATGTGTGCAATATCGAACAAATTGTTCAAGTTTGTAACAAACTCTTGTCTACGCTTTTCGAATATGTCTTGGGTTTTGTCACATTCTTTGTAGATCTTGCCAAACCTGGTATAAAATTAGGTAAAGATTTAGTCGGAATACGTGTCTTTTCCCGAACAATAATGCACTCACGAATATTACGATTTACGCTTTCATTTACACTTTAATTCAGTTCTCGAATATTATTCCACAAATCTGCCAATACTTGCTCTTTAGAGGTAAGTTTTGACGCGGTGATTTTAAGTTTTACATCCCCAATAAAAAAAATCCCCTTTTTGGATCTGCGTTATCTCTCTCACATTTTGAACAAACGATAATAATGCATTAACTAATAAAAGAAACAAGTAATATCAAGCACTACGAAATGTTAACTCTGACGCGCCATAGTATGAAAGTACTGACTTGTATCGACGATTGTCGGCACGGGTTACCGTGGTTCTAGATACATGAAATTTTATTTACATGTGATTTAGCACCATTCGCATATAATTAGAGGGTATGCGTTAAAATAAATCGACTTTGATTTTTTTGGGACACCCTTACATATGATTACCTGATGGTAAGCAATCAGCGCCGCCCATGGGCACTCGCAACGGAGGAGTTACGAGTGCGTTGCCGACCTTTTAGGGATTAGGGAGGGAAAGATTGGGCCTCCGGTAACCTAACTCACTCGGCGAAACACAACGCTGTGGTTACTTCACGCCGGTTTTCTGTGAGGCCGTGGTACCACTCCGGTCGAGCTGACCATTCGTGCCGAAGCATGGCTCTCCCACACTTATATATTTTTTCTATTCCAAATTTGTCATACGTCAACATCTCCTAAATAATTGATATCTAAATGTGAAATAAAAGTATTTTTTCAACCTTTAAGTCGTGGTAATTCATAACACAAGACAATAGGTGCCTCACAAAAGAAAATACTAATTGGGATTTTTTTCGTCAGTGCGTTTACAAACTCATAATTTCCTATAAGTATATACCACAGACCATGACCAGAAACATCAATGAGATATTGGCTAACTTTAGCATGATCTTGACCTGACTCTTGACTGGACCGTGGAATAATCGAGTATTTGCTTTTTTTTACGACGCCCTTTTTAGTTTTGCGTATACATAGATTACCATAGAACAGCTGACAAAAGAGGTCTTGTTACTTAGTCTAGTTTTCAAAAAGCACTGAGAATAGACGAATACAATTTCTTATTAAGAAAGAGAGAGAAGATAAGAAAGTAAATAGCTAACAATAAAAAAAATACTTACTTTATACACATCTGACATTTCACTTATTCTATATCGACCGACGTCAATCACACAAGATAAAAAAATATTTTGAAGACACTATAATTATTAATGGCATATTAGGTAAAGGTTACACTGGAGGAGTTTAATATGAAAACTTTCACTTAACTAAGGCTACGAATAGCCTGGACTGCAGATGAATACTGTGTGTCCTTTACCAAGCTCGAATGTCGAGTAAAATAACGCGTTGTTGGCGCCGTCTCGTCGGCTAAAACATCGGATGCCAAAATTCTACTAGTTATACTCATCTAACTAATTAATTTAAAATATTTTTCTAATAACATAGTGATTGTATAATGTATATCATTTTACAGTATTTATAAATCCTGTTATTCACAAAGTGAATCTGCAATTTTTTGTTTAATAGGTAGACTAATGCTTTTGCTAGTGACCATCGCTTTAAGAAAAATTCCAGGTATATATTTATCTCAGAATACAGAACAAACATATTTATTTATTATTATTAAACATATTTTTATTATAACTTTCGTGAGACACTCTTAATTAATAATTATGTTTTCGGTTTACTCACGTAATAATTTGACGAGATACTCGACTAGTTTCAAGCCATGCCAGAGGCCCATATTCATGAGCAGCATTCAACGACACGCGACGCGGCGACTGTCGCGCTGCTACTGCTACTGTAGCACTGAAGCTAGTCGAGTATATCGTTGAATTGTTAAGTGAGTAAGCCGAAAACATAATAATTAATTAAACATATTATTACATAATGTGAGTGAGGTTACCGGAGGCCCAATTCCTCACCCTATCCACAATTCTTTAATCCCCAATAACCCACAAGAGGCCGGCCACTCACTTGGTCCACGTATCACGAGTGTCCATGACGGACGGCGCTGATCACCGTCATTTGGTAATCCGTCTGTTCGTTTGCCGACACATGACATCATCGATCACTAATAAAGAACTTATTAGTGATCGATGTATGACATAAAAAAATAATATCAAAATAAGTCATGCGATTTTGGAAAACGTCTCGGTATAAAAAAAAAAATATCTGCTACTTATCCTGTTGGTATTGAAGTGTTAATCGATATCGATGCGTCTTTCTGTTTTTGATATCATTCTCTATTAAAATTTATCCTACATCACAAAAAATTCTGACCATAAAACACTGCAGCAATCTCTCAAGCTTACACTTCGGTTCTTGAAATTAGAAACTCTTGAGATTTTTATGTTCGGGTCATCTGCTTCAAATAAATACTTCACACGTCACATTTTTAAGTTGAAATATGATATTTGAAGAAAGTTTGAAAAATACTTTCACAATTTTATACAACACTTTAAAACACTTGTATGAAGTGCTTTTTTGTGTTACAATGTGTTTCAATATGATGAAGAGTCGCGCTAAAATGTTCTTTTTTTCTTAATTGTATAATACTCGTAAATGTGTATGGATGTTTCTTTGTTATTTTTTGCTGGACCGATGTAGTTGTTTTTTTTTAAGTTATTATGCAGATAAGTGATGCTCTTGATTAACAGATAGGTTGCTTTTTATCAAAATACCACGCGGGCGGATGCTAGTATTAAAAATATTCGAGGTTAATGAAGTTATAGCAAAAAAATAACGTTCGTTTTTTAAATATTTAAATTATATTATATAAATAAACATGTTTACTAACATATTTTGAGATTCATTTAAATGATTATATTGTTGATGATGTATGATGATATTGTTATCATAAAGTTCGTATGAAAGAACGAGGTGTATGACGAGGTGGCTCGACTAGTTTCAAGTCAAACTAGGGGTTATAGTCACCTTTGGGCGAAAATCAACGCTGCGAATTTTGTGTAGCCAAATGAGAGGTCTTGTAACATAAATTAATAGAAACGATTGCCTCACGACAATTGTAGGTGTCTCAGAAAAGCGGCGTGTTATTTTGCCTTGTGAGTGAGGTTAACGGGGGACCAATTCTTCCTCTCCCCCAATGCCTAAATCCCCAGAATACTAATCCCCAAAAAGGTCGGCAACGCATTCGTAACTCTTCCGTTGTAGCGGGTGTGCATGGGCGGCGATGATTGCTTACCATCAAGTAATCCGTCTGCTCGTTTGCCGATCTATCACATCAAACAATAAAATAAAATATAATGTTCATACTTTTTGTGCAGGTAATAGTTGGGACTGCAGCGATGGTGGTCTCGACTGGTTGGCGATGGAAGCGGAGAACGGAACTATTCGAAGGAAAATAAAAGATTATGACGAACTCGTTTGTCATCAGCAGCTATACAGAGGGAAGCCATTGAACAAAGTCATGGATATTATTCGGGTAAGATTTTATTCATCCTTATTTTTATGTGTAAATATACACGACGTAACTTTCGCCTTTATTCTTTAACGGGATTGGTATTTGATCGGGTATATGTTAAATTTAAATTATAAGCTAATGAGTTCCACGTAGTAGAGGGGTAGGAGTCTTATGGAATTCGACGCAAATCTGCAAATTATTCATTCTTCTTCTTCCTTTATTCAAAAATTAGTGATTACAAGTCATATAAGAAAGAAACCAGAAAGAAATAAAAATATTTTCCACATCATCCAAGAGAAATAAGTTTGCTATTTGACGTAAGTAATACATTTATGACGTCACATAGTGGAATATGACTCACGGAAAAAAAACTTTGTCGAAAAGTAGGTAGTTATGTTGAGTATTTGGAAACTTCCTACCTATTAGGTAATTGTCAGCTACTTGTAGTCAAATTCAGTACAATTCATGGTGCCAAAATCTACTGTTTGTTACTTACGAAATTTCTACGAGTTATTTATTATTTCTAAGAGTTTTTTGCCTCAAATGTCGAATGCCTACCTATTTATTTTTCGTGAGTATTTCGGAGAAACAGTAAATTTTATATTATAGTATACTAGCTACTTCACGCGATTTCGCCCGCTGCTGGGCTCCATTTGATCGTAGCGTGATGTTTTATGTTTTTGCCTATTAGAATTAGAATTTTGGTAATCTGACCAGGGTTCTAAAGATACATACAAACTTACAAATTTTACCTCTTTATAATACCTATACATTAGTAGATACTTATGGATATCGATATTTTTATTATTATGTTGTGATAATTATAAAGTCGAAAAAAGTATGTGTGACTATGATAAAGTCTAATTTCCAGTTCCAGTACCCAATTCTAGACTTTGTACCATTAGTGAGGTATCTTTGAAAAGCCTAATGATAATGATAAATATGATAATTATGTGAGTAGGTAGGTGTATTAAAATTACAATTGGTAATTCATAAAAATGAATCTCGAAAGGTTAATAAAGCACGACTTGAATTTCTGCTCTTTTCTGACATTTTCATTGTTTTATAGGTTTTAGGAGTTTTACGGATTCTTATGTAACAAAATATTGGTGTCATCATCAAAACTTTTTACGTAAAAACGGGAACCGATTTTGTTAACGATGTTGAAAATGTTATCCCTTCATTAAAAGTTTTGGATTTATTGAATAAAAAGGTAGTAATTAATACAAGTATTTATAGTCTGTCAAGAACAATGGCCGAACTTTTGACCTAGAGACGTGACGTCAAAACATTGTTTCATAAGGCAAAACCCTTCTGTAGTTTATAGGCTTCGTTCTATGTATTATGAAGGCGCAGAAAACGAAAATACACACTTCTGATGTAGTTTGAGGATGACTTTAATCAGACATTCAATCATTCATTGAAATGTAAAATTTTTAGGCCTTTAATTGTTTTTTGGTGTGTGCGGTCACTGTAAGCTAAAACAAAATTTTTATTTATAGTTCTAGGACCAAAACTAGGGTTAGACTGACCTACACATTAAAAATATAAACTTGCGTCCTCTAGAAAAGCAACGCTAAATGTAACTTTTCAATGGACTGCAGATAATGATAGTGTTTAAAACATACAGAAACTGTAAAGGATGGCGTTGCAAATAAGCGATTCGTCAGGCGCGTGGTACGTTGACGGCTCTCGATTCAAAAGTGTAAGATGGCCACCTCGTTCTCACTACTGTGACGTTCCATATGAATGGCAGCTGACATTTGCCACGCTGTCATCTTAATCCGACGTCGTTACTATAGCCAGGTTCAAATATCGTGAATATGTAAGTTTTGTATGAGTTCTATTGGTTATTCTAAACACATAGTATATCCAACATGGCTTGTGCACCCAGAGCTATCGACGGGTTAACTCGACCATTTTCAAGGCACGGTAGGGGCTCATAGTCATGCAGTATTGCACGACAACCGACGCGCACCGACGTTAAAAATGTTTTAGTTTCCTTTTCCATTTTATTATTTCATTCAAATACAAAATGACCATTATGACTTAATGAGATACGGGTATCTTCTTTGCCATTCTAGGTATGATCAAACATTACCATTTGACCTTGCAGTTCTATTATTATCGTTTGATAAAGTTAATTCTCAATGCAAACACTCGAATTAGTGGCTTAAGCATAACTCTGGTTATGATCATATTAGCCCGATTAGATTAGTCGCATTCTTTGTTTCTTTAACGTTTGCTTTCCATTATCTGCTAAAACTTGGTAATCTTCAAGCAATTTATTACTTAAACAGCGATGTTATGGGGTTTTAAGTAATTATCATTCTTATTTTGGTTGTCTTTGATCGTTATCAGTATTTGGATCGTTTACATTGGATTTTTAAATAAAAATGATGAGTAACATATTTTGCTAGCAATAAGAATAAAAAAGATAGTTCGGCAAACGAACAGATGGATTACCTGATGGTAACTCAGCAATCGGCGCCGCATGCACACCCGTTATACCAGAGGAGTAACGTGTTTATTACCTACCTTTTTGGTATAAGGATTCTGGAGATTTAGGGATTTGGGAGTCATGGAGGAAGGGGAAGGGGACGAATTGGGCCTCCGGTAATATCAATCACTCGGCGATACACATTGTTATTGTTGTTTCACGCCAGTTTTGTCTGCGCATCACAAAGCTGTGGTTAATTACACGTCGGATTTTCTGTAAGGCCACGGACCGAGCCATTCATGCCGAAGCTTGGCTCTGGGAGAGCTACTGGGTTTACTGAAATCGGGCAGAGTGCGTGTTTAAGTTAGAAACTTTAGTTGAGCTATTCAATATTCAAAGGTTAATGATATGATGATACTCCTTTTTAAAAACTGGTCACTCGTCTCGTTTTACTGGTACTAGCAGTGGCAGTGGCTCTAATCCCTTATAGTATCGAAGTCTGACTCGTTAGGTTATACCAAAAAAGACCAACCAATAAAGTAAGATACGAAAAATCTGTCCTAGATATGAAAGAAAATTGAAAATGTATTTTTAGGTAAAATGAATCAATCAAATGGTATTGGTTTTCCAAATGTATCTGATATGAGTGTTCAGATAATGAAAGGCGCTACCATTCTAAATTCGATAAGGGATCACAGTCAAGATAATTCATTCGGATTCTATAAATCTGGGTTGAGAAATAGATTTACGTTGTCTCGAATTATTTACGTTTCATCGCACCATACATCTGTAACAATACATACATAATATCGACACGATTTCCCTAAAGGAGTTCATTAATGTGAGTATGCATAGACAATAGTAAATGCTCTTTCTGGAAGTTTTGTTGTTATATGGTAATTCAACCATACGAAGCTTTAAGGGTGAGTTCTATTGGGCGTAATTTCATACTCTAGTGGGGCATTGATGGATTACAAGTTTCGTCAGACACCATATGGCATGAAAAGCCCACAAGCGCCGAAGACTGCTGAGCCAAAGTTTAGCAAGCCACTACTGATTAGTGCTCTCGAACCTTCTTTGTAACAAGAATACTAATCTAACTAAAGCACTTTAAGCAAAAATCACCATGCTGCCTCAAGGCAAACCGACCTTTTGGGAATTAGGGCAAGGATTGGGCCTCCGTTAATCTCACATGGCGAAATACAACTTTGTGGTTGTTTCACACCGTTTTTCTCTGAGGCCGTGGTATCACTCCGATCGGGCCCACCCATTCGTGCCGAAACATGACTACGCTTAGTTCAGTTATATCGCTAAACAGTTAGGACAGTGGACATTCAATACCACCCCTTCTTCTTTCGCGGGCTTTTTCAACCCCTTGCCTTTCCGACGAAGGTACCGGATTGGCAAGCAAGGAGATTCTCGAATCCGAGACTCATATATGTGCTGTTGAAGATGGTGACGATGCCTTGTGTCTTCATAGTTGTAATGGCATATAAATACGTAGGTACACACATACTAGCGGTGCGCCTGTGCTTCGCACGGGTGCAATTACCTCGCTCACAACGCTGTCTAATATTTTCTTCGATAAGAACCTTCTCCTGACGATAACAAACATAATAAAAAAAGAATTGGTGAAATTGGTTCAGGGATTGTTGAGTTATGCGTTTACCAACACATTTTGCGATTCATTTTTATATATATGTAGATAGATTATTAGATCTAGTATTTATTCTACGGTCATTCTTATCAGACATAGTATCTGGATGTTAATGGATTTTGATTTTTGGGAATTCCATATAGATGATATATGTATACGTAGGTGGTTGCGTATCTATCTGTGTTCTTAATCTCCCAAATCCGAGGTTATCTTGTTTTCGTCTGGGCTTATTTGGTTTCTGAAAGGATAAGCAAACTGGGTTCTTAATACTGTTGTCACAGTATCAGTGATAGTAATGGCATTTTGGTTTTAAATCACAATATAATGTTGGCAGAGGATTGTAGTTCGTTTGTTGAATATACGAGTTTTTGTACAACCAAGACTGTGTATTATGGCGATATAAACGCCGTTTTGATGGTATAACGTGTAAAAAGGGTAATAACCAAGACCACATCGCTAGGTGTTTAAGAGAAAATGAACCTAATGGTTTTTTAAATATATGTAAGAAAATAAACCTTAAATTACACGATATTATGATCAATTATGATTTAACTTTGACAATTAACATGTTCACAGTTTGAAAAAAAACCTATCAAATAAGAAACTCAGAGTGTTTACCCGCTTGAACTATAATATAATAATTACTCCTTAGCGTTGCATTGTTATCTTAGTTAGAAACTCTTGCTATGAAAATGTTACAACGTAGACGCTTTGAAAATATTCCAGAGCGGAGTATAACCAAGATTTTGTCCTATAAAATAACATAATAAGCTGGTGAAAATATGGGGGAGGCAGAAACAACATTCTTACCGAGTTTATTTGCCCAAGAATCTTGTGCAAGGGAATTTAATACTTGGTTTAATTTTCGTTGAGAGGTAGTTAAACTTTGTTATTACTCAATTAAATAGTTTATTCTGTATTATGAATTAATATCTTCGTAGTAGCTGTGCTTGCTTGTGGGCGTCAAGGAGTATTCTTGGCAAATAAGTGGAATGTCGGGATCGTATTTTACAAGTTGTTACTATCGTGTAGTTTAGCAAGTCTCAAAGTTATAGGTCAAACTCACAACATAACACAGAACATTTCTTAAGAACTGTTAGTGGTAGTAATAAATCGATGCTGTAGTTACTGTTTATACTTATAGACCAATAAATCGACTTGCAATATCAGAGGAGTTACGAATATTTGGGGATTAAAGGTTTGAGGATTGGGGTTTTGGGGTATTGTGAGAAATGGTGCGTGGATGAAATAGAATCCCTAGTTCTTTTTGTAACGGATCTTTGTGAGTGAACCAATAGTGGAGAAATTTCCGAAAAATTGACATAAACTCAAAATAGCCACCAACAAGGCAGTCTTTTAATGATGTACATAAATGCTTTTCTTAGATTATGGAGCGGTTATCTACTAATCTTAAACGGACTAAGTACAAATGTAAAGATTAACTCGCTTATCAGCTAGATATGCAAAATAACTGCTTAATGCTATTTTTAAATTCCTCGCAAATCGTTTACGTTTAAGCTTATTTAAAAAAATATGTTCAAAATGTTGCCTCCCCAATCTTGATTAACGATTTACCAGTTCTCGTCTACTTTGAAATTAAAATTAAATATTTCTTCAAAAGTTTTTTGGATTCTTTATGAAATGAAATTTTTCCAATTAAGTTGCTAAACAATTCGTTAAGTGAAAAAAAAATGGAGGATGTTATTAAAACAAATCTATATTGGTAAAAACGTCAAGTAAATAGAGTACTTCACTATATTATTGAATTAGTAACCATTAAACAACCTACCGTACCCTGTTCTAAGAGTAAAACATAAAAGTTAAAGAGTACAATAAAAAATATAATATAAAAAACAAGAGGCTATCGAAAAGTAAAAACTTTATCGTCTGCCAAACACAAAATTCGAGTGTTACGTAAACAGCTCTTTACTGAAAAATAAATTTTGTTTTTGTATTAACTTCGCATTGTTCTTACCTTCTCAAAGTTTTCAACATAAATTAATTAATCCTTGCCCAATGTTTTTTTTAATTTGTATATAAAAGTTTTTTTTTATGTAATAGCTCGGCAAACGAGCAGACGGATTACCTGATTGTAAGCAATCAGCGCCGCCCATGGACACTCGCAACGGAGGAGTTACGAGTGCGTTGCCGACCTTTTAGGGATTAGGGATTTGGAGATTTAGGGATTGAGGAGGGATTGGGGAAGGGGAAGGATTGGACGGGCCTCCGGTAACCTCACTCACACGGCGAAACACAACGCAGTGGTTATTTCACGCCTGTTTTCTGTGAGGCCGTGGTATCACTCCTATAATCAGTTTAGTACCTATATAATCATTCGTGTTATAATGAGAGCGTTTGCTCGGAGTTTTGATGAAGTGGGTATACCGCGTAGTGGAAAGTGAGAGCTATGCTTGGCACAAATAGGCCAGCTAAACTGTAGTTATACCACTGAGGTATTACTACTACTCTAGTAATTAGTTTAATGAGTCATACTACAGTCACACAGAAATCCGGCGTGAAACAAAGCTTGCGTTATGTGTCGTTGTGCAAGTAACCGAATACGCAATGTTTTTAAGCAATATACATATATATGTATATAGGTATATAGACGCAACACCATAGGATATGAGTGCGTTGCCGGTTTTGTGGGGATTAGGTTTGCGGAGATTTAGGGGTGGAGTAGGATTGGGTCTCCGGTAACCATTGTTTCGTGTGAGGGATCACACGAAACAATGAGGTTGTTTCACGCCAAGTTTCTGTGAGGCCGTGGTATCGCTCCGGTCGAGCCGATCTAATTTTGCCGAAGCTAGGCTCTCTCACACTTCTTTCAACCCCAAAGCCAATTTCTCAATCTTCACATCACTTACAACCCCTAAAAGACCATCAATACAATTTTGCTTTAACAAGGTCAATATTCTTTAAATTATTGTTTATTACAAGTTTGAAATTAAACTTGAGTGGATAGTACCAAGGGCGGAGTAATTGATGGATAAGAATAAGAATATGTATTTATTTATCCTCTACAAAGAGGTCTTACAGCTTTACGTAATACACAAATGGATGGTAGTGTTAAAAATAGCTATAAAACTGTGTTAGGTATTAGATCTGTGTAAAAATCAGATGGAAGTAAAGTAGGCTGAAGTTAAGGCATCTTTCTCTCTCTATGTCGGAACATTAGAGTTCAAAGTTAAACGACAATGTCGTGATCACTCTCTCGCTCTCCCTTACTCGCTTCCCTCACGAACCAATCAAACGTTATCAAGTTAGACACAAAATTATTCAGCTTAATCCCTTGTCTGACTTCGGACAAGTTGTCCAATGCCGATAATGAACTTTTAAGTGAGGATATTCTTCGATGATTAAAGTCAGACAATTGCCATGAGTAGATTTAAAAATTTGTAGAGAAGTTACGTATATGTATGTATATTAATAGCTACTAATAAGCAGATGTAGATTATCTGAATTAGAAGAAGTAGTCAGTTCGTGAGTGATTTAAAGTTTTTTTTATCGATTTTATTAATGAGTTCTTTACTACTTCATCTTGTTGATCAAATGGTTTCGACGTCTTTTTGTTCCTCCTTTTACGAGAAAAGTCATTTGGGATTTTTTGTTTTCAAAAATTATCAAAAAATAGTGTCCAGTCTAGAATTGGGTAGTTTCCAACTAGTAAAATTCAATAGACGTCAAAAACGATACTTTTCTATCCATTTTGTATGACATCGCAACATGACATCATAACGTTTTGCGTCAAACAGCATAAGTACTTATTTTTTTAAATGTTAAGTATAAAATTTTTATATTAAACATATCGTCAATTCAATGAATGAAAGTATGATTATATTGTAATAATTAATTGCGTTGAAAAGGCAAAATAATAATTTATTTTTGACCAAGGATACTACCCAATTGAGCCTGGTATGTAGCTGTATATTCGATCTACATAACCATGGGGATGCACAATGTAATTTTTTCAAATGTGTGTCACCTCTAAAGTATTTGCGTTTGCGACTTTCATTTCATTTCACACGACACCCAAACCCGGACCATGTGGTCTACATGTGGATCCCATAAAGACACTACACGGAATCCCAGTTGCAGTTTGCTCCCCGCGTTAACTATTCATTACACAACTTAAGTCTTTCGCATTATTTCTAACATACGGTACGTTTTGCAGACTATGCGTCTAACATGTCCGGAGCCCTGCGCTTGCACGATGACACACGTGGTCTCCGACGCAGCCGGTGCTGTGATACCTCTCATCACCGTGGACTGTGCCAACAGACAGCTGGAGAATCCACCATCAGCTCTGCCGCCAGGGACGACCACACTTCGACTTGAGGGCAACAAGGTAAAATGGTACGAAGATTTTTTGATGTTTCATGTAACTTATACATATATCATAACTGTGTATAATCCTTTTATCATGTTTTCATGTTCCTTTACTCATTTTTTTCTATGTGTAGCTAATAACAGTCACCTGTACTTTACTGTATGGTACACCATTGAATTACAGGTTTTTATACCGTAGTTTTGAACATGATATATACATATGTACAGTGAGGTTATCATGGTAAGACTACGGGGTCGGCTTGAAGTAGAAAAAGGAACAGGTCAGTTTTTAGTCAGTAAGAGTCTAACACTCCCTCTCGCCACATTCTGGGTGAGATAGTAATTAGATGATATTCACCTTAAAAAAAGTAAAGTTTTTCACCGACATTACCGTCCTCGACTCTTTAAAACCCTCGGCTGGCGGATCGGGCCTCAGTGCGTCTCAGCGTAATCACCATCATGACTCACTTGTACCATAATGTAGCATTAAGAAACGGAATTACATAAATTATATAAGTGTGGGAGAGCCATGCTTCGGCGCAAATGGGTCGGCCCGACCGGAGCGATACCACGGCCTCACAGAAAACCGGCGTGAAACAGCCACAGCGTTGTGTTTCGCCGTGTGAGTGAGGTTATCGGAGGCTCAATCCTTCCCGTTCCCCAATCCCTAAATCTCCAAATCCCTGATCCCTAAAAGGTCGGCACGGCAACAAACTCGTAACTCCTCCGTTGCGGGTGTTCATGGGCGGCGCTTATTGCTTACCATCAAGTGATCCGTCTGCTCGTTTGCCGACCTGTTACAAAAAAAACAAATTGTGTTATTGACGTGATAAGATTAGGCCTCTGGTAACATGCCTAATGGCTAATGTTAGTGTTGTTTCACATCGGTATTCTTTGAGGCCATGGTATCGAGCCGGCCCATTCGCGCCGAAGATTGACTCTCACACACTATATTACGAATTCAAAAAACAAAAAGCAAAAGTATAAATACTATATAGTTTAGGCTGTGTCAACAATATTGTTGTTTACTTTTTTCGATATTCTGTAAACAAGGCGTGAATCTGCTTTAAAAATAAAACTGGACATAACGCTATAATTATGAATCACTATTATCGTCAGTTGGTCGTCCGTTGTATATCGTGGTAACTAGACCATTGATTAACCTCATTTACAAATTACAAACGACGTTTTGTTAACACAATCCTTACGTTAAGTAAATTTTTATCCTGATCTAGGAGGATCTAGATCTGATAAATTAACTCAATCACCACTATAAATTAATTAAACTGACAAACATTTTTCTGAACGCTAAGGATGTTGTTAATAAATTAGTTTCACTTTAATTATTTCCTAGAGGAGCCGGGCCATGAGAAAAATATTTTTTTATTCTTTTCTCTTGTCGGCAAGCAAGGAGGTCTGTTGACTTGTATAACTATATTTACTTGTATTTGTCGATGGAAATAATTACAATTTCATACACACCTACATCTATATTATAGAAAATTAAGTGACTTTTCGTCATAGTCACAAATATACACCTCCGTCCTTTGACATATTTGAGTAGGCATTAATTAATTAAAAATAATGCTTATAGCGCCTTGTTTTCTTCGTGAAAATTAGGTGCTTTGGTGTGGTCTGTTTGGCTAATTAGTTTCAAGTTTCATTTTAATTGATAAGTAGATATACGAATGTATATAAGAACTTCTTTGCTTTTGCCAAAATGTTTATTAAATCAGTGACTTTATTGTCTTCAGAAAATACTGTTGCTTCAATTTGACTTTGTTCGCATAACTAAACGAAGTAAGAATAACTACTCGCAACGAAACTTCTAGGTATTGATTTGTCGGAGAAATTGTGGTACCTATTAATTAATTATTCCCGTAACAGCCTCGTTAAGAAATTCAATAATTATAACGAGAAGCAATTGTTTTATCGTACAAATTATTCTCATTGTTAAATAGTATTGTTTCTGAGCCCAAATAAGAATTGGGAATTGAAATCAGTTAGTCACGTAAGTATAAAGATTTATTTAAAATACTTAAACTACTTCATAAGTACTATAAATCTCAATATTAAATTGGAGAAAAAATATGAAGAAAATTTTCGTAAGAGATTTTCTTTTAACCCGAAATTGGCTGTCGTAAAATCGATCAAATAACATCGGCTGAAGATGGCCCAAACCCTCTCTTTGTACCATTAATAGACACGTTAAAAGCTGATTAATTTATGATATCTCGTTAACTTGTCTTTGGTCTAATATGAGAACCTTGATTTGGTTCTGAGATAACGTAAAATATTATTGGATTTCTCGTAAACGAAATTCTAAGTAACAATTGTAGCACTGTGTCTAGATTAATGCCTACTGATGGTCCTAACGATATTATTCTAGATTTCTAATGAACAAAATTATTTTGATTATGTTTATACCTTGGAAGGTACACTGAATAATTTATTAGATAAACTAGCGAACCGCCCTTGCTTCGTACATGCGATAAGTAACAGAATTGAACAATTTTACCCTCTACTATACTAAAAAAAAATATAATTACTTTTTTCTAACCTTTGCAAAACGAAGCATAAAAAGAATTAGCGGATTCTTTATGACATGACCAAGGGCATTTAGGATATATTTTTTATACATATAAAATAAATCCTAAATGATATGATGATAAATTGTCTGTAGATTTATTTGTATAGAAAATTAATCCTAAATGCCTATGGGGTAGGCATATAGTAAATGGGGTAGGCATATAGATAGACTGGTGCGTGGCGGTTCATCTAAGCTTTGTTCTAGTAGTGTTGGCCTAGTCTAAACCGTTATTGCGATTCAATTAACGAACTATAATGAACTGTTTTGCTATTTCGTACCACAACGTCATTATACATAGCTATCCAGTTTAGGTTCACTGCAATTTAAGTCCAGTAGGTACGTACCTAATAAAACGTAGCCTGGATAGATGACGTCATCCACAGAACTAAGTCACTATCAGCCTGTAAGTGCCCACAGCTGAGCAAAGGCCTCTTCTCATACGGAGAAGGTTAGAGCATTGATCACCACGCTTGCTCAATGCGGGTTGGCGATTACAAACTTATAAGTCCAGGTTTCCTCACGATGTTTACCTTCACCGTATGTCAGCAGTGGTGTCTAAATAATCATAGAAAGTACATATAACTCGGAAAAAGTCACATTGGTACTTGCCAGGTTTCGAACCCACACCCTCATGCATGAGAAGCGGGCTCCTTAACCTCCGGGCCACCACGACATTAGAACTAAGTACTAATCTTATGGATCGAAGAAGGTCTTAAGTTAGGTTTAAGTTAGTAAACGTCAGGTTGACTTAATATACACGGATTTTTCGAAAGCCTTTGATCGGGTGGATCATTCTATACTACTTGCAAAGATGTATCACGTCGGGATTCACGGGACTCTCTATAGATGGCTCTCATCCTATCTGTTAAATCGTACACAGTTGGTCGCACTAAGCGGATATGACTCTATACCATTTGAAGCAACGTCTGGGGTGCCCCAGGGATCGAATTTGGGTCCTTTGTTATTTTTGGTATTTGTTAATGACCTACTGAGTAAAATTAATAGCGAATGTTTAGCTTATGCAGACGATATAAAAATTTACAGGCGTATCTCAAATAACCAAGACTGTGAGATCCTTCAATCAGATATTGCTTCAATTGTTAAATGGTGTGATGAGAACTCGATGTCACTTAACATCAAAAAATGTCAGATTATAACCTTTTCAAAAAATAGTAAAAATATTATTTAATTAATAATATTTTAAAAGGTTAACCTTTTCAAGAAATAGTAAAAATATTATTAATTATAAGTACACAATTAAAGGAGTAGTAGTGGATAGGGTAAAAGTGGTACGCGACCTGGGTGTTATGTTTGATTCGGTGTTGTCATTTAGACCCCATTACGACCACATTTGCAATAAGGCCAATCGTTTACTATCTTTTGTGTTGCGAAATTCCAAGCCATTTAAAAATCCGCAAACACACTTATTACTATACTATTTCCTAGTTAGATCTATATTGGAGTACTGCTCCTCTGTGTGGTCTCCGATGTACAATAACCACATAGATCGCATAGAATCTATACAGAGAAGGTTTGTCAGAAACTTAAGTGCAAAATGTGGTCTAAGACGTAAACTCCCCAATTACAAACAGCGCCTCACCCACTTTAACATGAAGAGTCTTGAGAGAGGGAGATGGATTAGTGATTTAAGTGTATTGCATAAAATTGCCAATGGTTCTTTTGATATTAACTTACTTGACCAGTTAAGATTTAAGATACCCACTCGATCTGTACGCATTCCACAATTATTCAGTATTCCCTCTAGTAACAATAATGTTTCACAGAATAACCCGTTATCCAGAATGTGCAATCAATATAATACAATGTGCCCTAAGGTAGACTTGTTCTTGAACAGTTTCAACGAATTTAGAAATTGAAATGTAATTAATTGTTTTAGTCATGTATTAGCTTCTTAATATTAAGTACCTCAACTTTACTGTCTCTAACGAAGCATATTAATACTTGAATGTTATGTACAGGAATAATTGGACTTCAGATTTATGTACTGTATGCTAACTATTGTTTTTTCTTGATTGTCTTAACCTGTAGTCTGTCACTGTACTTATTAAATAAATAAATAAATAAATAAATAAACCTCATTCTAATAATATGTATTAAGAAAAGAATATAGAAATTGGAAAAGTGAACAATTTTTTATTACTTACGTATGAAACTAACCCTGAAACTGTTCAACGAAAATTTTCTGAGAATTTTACTTTTATCTTTTGAGGACAAAAGTGTCTGTGCCTATATAAAATAGTTCGTGTATTGTACTCGTAAGTACGTTTGTAGATACCCATTCTTAGTTTACCTGGTAACTAAACAAATATTTGAATGACCTACGGTACGGGTGGTTGTTTTGGGGTAGGATAGTGTTTCTCAAACTTGTTTTGCTTATGTAAAAATAGCCCTTTAATACAATATTACAA